TTCCAAACCTACTCAACATGTCTTCAAACTCCTTTACCAACTGTAAATAGTCAGCTGGGTTTCCGTCGAAATACCGGGGTTCATATTTAGGCCTATTATCCCTAGACTGCGAAACATGAACAATAGTCTCATCATGCTGAGCATCATACATATGTAAGATACATGTAACAAACAACTCAACATTACTTACTTTCCTGCTTGCTCCCAAGATGCCCTGTCCCTTCTTTGACCCAGGCATCACTGAACTTGACCAAAAATTCCAGAAAATTTCCAGGTAACACTTGTCCAAAGAAGACTTGCAGGCACCAAGAAAGACGAACAGAAACTGTCAGCAAACTCTCAGAAACCGTCAATGTCCAGCTCTTATCACGCTGTCCCTGGAAGACTTTCAGAAACACTTTGTATTAACCAACGCAAAAACCAGAACACTGATTGGCGACTCGAGAATCCTTTATTCTTACACCAACATGTAACAAACAATAAGGTTATTACACAAGATTTCTGATAGCTTTCGATCTTCCACTTAACAGCAAACGATGAAACGATGGCTGATGGATGGATGACTCCCGCGAAAAATATGGAGGAGTTGGATTTGAGCAAACGACCATGAATTGATCGTTCAATCTTCAACTAAATTGACGGCCTCCTAGATTGATTTCCCCTGTTTACCTGGAACTCGAATGTGGGCTAACCTCAAGATTTCTCACCTTATTATACACCTTCTCACGGGAAATAGAGCTCAGGCACTTATGGTCAAAGACAGCTAGTCTTTTCATGTCCTCCACTCTAAATGGTCAAGTCTCACAGCCATAAAGAAGGACGGAGCGGACTGATGAGTAGTTCACTCGCCCTTTGGTCAACAGCCGGATATCACGTCTACGGCAGAAACTGGCATATGCGGAACTAGCCTTCTGTATCCATGCTGAGATTTCGTCAGAGATCAACCCGTCAGGGCTGATGGTACTTCCCAAATAATTGAAGCGGTCGAAGTGTTCTATCACTTCACTCCCTATTTCTAAACTAGGAGGCAGTGTAGTCCAGTCCTGTAACATCATGTTGCATTTGGCGGGAGTGAATCGCCAACATTGGTAGATTGCAGCTCAAGGTGTTTAGTGTTATGTACTAGTTTCCCCGTCGCCAAATTGTTATGTACTCGTCGCTAAATTATTGTTATGGACTGGTCGAGAAACTAATAGTCCTGACGCAAGAAGGCGGAAATCAGAAGACCACTAGGTTTGCGATGAGACTTCTATTGTCCAAACACAAGGAGACGAAAATAAATGGTCTCACACCAAAGTGGTAAGTAAGTAAAGTAGTTCACACAAATTGTGAATGCGAAATATATATAAATAATTCAGACAAAGCGTGGGAAAAATCATTAGACAGTCTTAACATGAATGGCTAATTATAATGGAGTGTCGATCCAATTATACATAGCGAATATAGCAGACATGTCAACAAACATATATGGATATATGTCACCAAGCAACGGACTATCAACATACACTCATATTATATATAATATAATATAAGGAGAATATACATTGTTAAAGGAGACAAGTTCAGACCAGTGAAATGGTCACAGACTAAGAGAGCGAACAGAAAGAGAGACCAACATCACACACACACATAAATATATATATGTGGATACATATCATTTAGAAAACTATGCATTTTGTCAGCGTCCTCGCCTAGAAGGACTATATCGTTTGCATATTCTAGGTCAACGAGATCAGTCCCTGGTACCAAGTCAATCCCTGTGTCTCTGAAGTGTGTAAGGGTTATTTCCATTAGTACATCTATGATGATACTGAATAGAAATGGGGACAGTGGGCATCCCTGAGGACACCACTAGTTGTCACTACTTCAGATGACAACTCGTCATAAGCCCTCACCTGGCTTTATGAATACGACTAGAGTGCCTTAATCAGTGCAATGTATTTTCTCGGCATTCTCTTTACAGCCAAGCATCGCCAGAGTACCTCTCGGTCGACAGAATCGAATTCCGTCTTTAGGTGAAGAAATATAATGATTGTTGGACGCCTACGTAGGAATGCCTGTGTTCTAGATTCTGTAGAAGGGTAATGATCTGTTCAAATTTATTAAAATGATATCCTGGTATAAAATTTTTGAAGAAACACCTCCCTACTGAATCATATATTTATATAGATAATCTCCGTCTGACTGCTGGCATGACCTTGAGAACCCCTCAAAAAAATCAATCAATCAAAAATCAGGTTATTATGTCAGCGGAGGCCTTGATCACAACTTTACGGATAACAAAGATAATCAGTCCGTCCTAAAAAAATCATAGAATTATTTCTTCTATTACTACGTTTATATGTGTGCTGCTTTCCTCATTTCTAACACTTTATATAACATAAGTTTCATAAATACAAAAGGTTTATGCATAAATATTATAATTTTTAGTAATTATCAATACACTTTAACGTTGAATGTGAATTAAGGTCATTGTACTTTATTGTATTTTTTCTGAATACTATTAAAAAATAATAATAATAGATATACAAACAAACAAATGAGTATGAATATATATATATATATGTCCTAAAATGACCTTCATTCATTCGTAATATAAAGAACACAGAATTTAGCAAAGAGACATTTTCATCGAATTTATTATCAAACTATACACAGTTGTATGCACTGGGACTTTTTAAAAACTATATATAACATTAGTCTTCTAATGAATGCGTGTTGCCAAAGAGAGTTCGTAAATATTACTTCTAACCTTGATATCATATGATAGTGACTAAAGATAAACATCCTACTTTGTTACAGATTGGAAGGAAGCCATTGGTTTCGTGATTGCTGGTACTCGTTAGCAAAGTGTGTGTGTGTGCAACCCTGAGAGAGCTAAGCTCCCATTCGAGACTCGAACTCGCGTTACCCAGTGCTGCAATCAAAATTTTACCATCAGTTCAGAATGCATAGAGACCCAGAATCACCACCTAGCTTGGTGACCAACCGCCTTGCAAACTTGATAAATATAATTCAGTAAGAGAAACATTGGAAACCCACCAGGGAGTACTGATCAGCGGTCTCATTCTCATCAGCTTAGTTTAGGACTCTTCATCAGTACGCACTCACAACCACGGTTCGAACCCAGGACATTCTGGTTACAAGGCTAGCGAGCTCATAGACCATTATTATTTTATTTATTTTTGATTACAGCTTGATTCCACGCCATTTTTGGAACATGTGTGGAATTTTCAGCGTGGATATCGGTAGCCCAAAATTCGCGGGTCGACCATAGATATCAGGTGTGCGTCGGCGTGGGCTCGAACCCCGGACCATGTGCATGGTCGGCGAGAGTCCTAACCACTGTGCCACTGGGAACCAGACGAATGGCCTATGAATTCTAACTTCTACGCGACCACTTCGCAATGTCTTCTTCGATGAGTTACTGCCTCACCTTCAACCTGTTGTACCCTACTGGTGGTCACTGCTTGCTGTAAGACACACGTTTCGCATGGTGTTGAAGCCTTAGGTTCCACTCGAAACCAAAGGGATTAGTATTAATAATAATAATACTAGCATAATTCATCGAAAATACAACTTTTATTTGCAATACATTATTACTATTGTTAATATTATTATTAGTAGTAGTAAGCAAACATGTGTACACGGAAACCTTTCAAAATACAAACACACACACACACGACGCGCGCACAGGCACACACATACCCTCCTTTTCAATAAAATAATAATTTTTTTTAAGAAGAAAGAGAGAGAAGATGGACAAATTTACAAGAGAATTAAAAAACAACAAACTAACTTACACACACACACACAAGAAAAAAAGAAAATGCATTTAAAAATTCATTCATTATCCATAGAAAAAAACCAAAGGAGAGGAGGAGGAGGAGGACGTGGTCTACGACGACGACGACGCCGACGAGGAGGCGAAGAACGAGGAGGAAGTGGATAAAAAAATGAAAGAAAACATTTTTTTTCAATCTAATCCACTTCTATCAATTAGGAGATATAAACACGAACAAATAAACCAACAAGTAAACAAACAAACATATGTGGGTAGGATGGTGATGGTGCTGGTGGTAGTTGTGATTCGTAATTACACATATACTACTGATAATAATAAAAAACGCACTTTTATTCATCATCATCATCATCACCGCCACCAACACGACCACCACCACGAATAAAGAATCGACTAGGTTCATCAAACATTCAAGAACAAAGGGAATAATGATTAAAGTAGAAAGTGTTGTATGCATTACAACCCTTGCGAAAAAAGTTACAAGGTGTTGTCATAAAATATTGAAATAACAACATTGTGTGTGCGTATGTATGAATGAAGATAGATAACAACGATATAATATACAAAAATTATAGTGTTGTAAATGTTTGAGTGCGTATACACAACATATATAAGGGTTGATGATGGTGATGAGTACATTTCACAGTTGTCAATGTTTATTTGTCAATAACGGGATTAAATTAGGATATGAAAGAAAAAAAAATTACAAAAAACAAGACAAAACAGAAATGAAAAATAATTAACAACAAACAAGAAAGCAAGGAGGTGAACACCAATTCCACCGACCGACCGCCCCCCTCCCCTCGTCCAAGTTCACAACTTGAACATCTCTTCTACACGCAGGACGATAAGATGTTCACAGTTGTAGAGGAAAAAGAAGGAAAAGAGGACGACAACGACGAGGGAGAGGAGGAGGAGGAGTCGGAGGACGACGGAGAAGAACAGCCAGAGTGGTACACACACATCACATTTAGAATAGAATACACTTTTTTGTTGTTCTCCTTGATTCATTATATAATGCACATGAGAAGAAGGGAAGAGAAGAGACGAGATAAAGCACACATTGAAGGTATTTCACTGGATAAAAAATATCAAAAACAAGAAAAGAAACAAACTATGATGAACAACAAAAAAAAAAAACAAATAAATCAATGGTTGGTGTGTACATTTGACAACTTGCTTTGCTTCTCTTTTTTTCTTACAATAATTTTTGTCGTTTAGCATAACTTGTATCATTATTGCTGGTGGCGGCGGCGGCTGTTACAGTCACTTTAGCAGTACCAATTGAAGTAGGTATAGTAGTTACATTGAAGGATGTTGATGACGATGAAGTTGGATCATTAGGGAGAGAATTTTCGCTTAGATTAACAATATTACTATTACTTGATAAAAGAGTTAAACCGCAACCAGATAATGATGATGGTGAAGACTGTTTTAAAGTAATAGGACGTGTAGTCACTGTTGTAGTCAGTGGAGTAGAGTTTTTAAACGATGAATCGTTACTTTGTTGTCTTGAATCACAGAATGTTGTTACACGAACCACTTTACGTACAGGCGTAGGCTATTTTTAAAAAAATTAAAAAAGAAGGCATAAGAAAGCATCAACTATTAAAAAAGAATTTACTTTATTTCTTTGAGTTCCCAGTGAAACGTAGATTGGCTTTAAGTTAGAGCTCTGAAGTTTCAGTATCACTGGTGTTAATTTTTACGGACGGGATTGCTAGCCTAATGCTCAACTTTTCCCCTTTACTGAGCTTACTGCCGACTAAATGTGGTAAACGAGTGGCGTCAGCTGGGAATCGAACCCCAGAACATTTGCCTGGTTGGTTTTTTTATGAGCTACTAAAACATGTATTAAAAAAAATTAAAAATACACTTTTTTTCCTAGATATTTACTTGAATATTGGATTGCATAGCTAAACAGTTCAATTTGAACCAGTGGGGTAGAAGGTTCGAAACCATAAACCTAACCTTGCAACTTTTCCCCGTTTTACTACCAGATAGCTAGGTGAGGTTTAGAAGTGTGATGGCCAAGAATCGGTTGGTGAGCATACTACTCTAGAACCACTATTATATATTATTACTATTATTTACACATATGGCAACTGAAAAATCACTTTAAAAGTAGAAATCATACTAACGTAAGGGCGTCGGTGGCACAGCGGTTAAGACGCTCGTCAACCATGCACATGGTCCGAGGTTCGACCCCCAGCCACTGGACGCACTCCTTTACCTCGCTAAGCCAGAAATAATCCTGGTAAAGAGGAAAGGTTGGGCATAAGGCAAGCAACCCCATCCTGTAAAATAAACACTGCTACAAAAAACTTCAGGCCACTAGCTTGAAGCCCAATGTTCCACTGGGGAACGTGAAGGAAAAAAAGAGTAGAATTAGAACACTATGGTAGAATATAATTTTATATTAGATAAGTTTCTATGATGTGACACACACACACACATAGTGAGTGACACTACGGTATCAATAAATGAATGACATTTCAAGTACAATTAATTCCTCATAATCATATCAGTGCATTCATCACATGATTTGCTTTTTTATAGTCTTACTTCCTCTCATTTTTTATATTACAATATTCCTATATCCGATATAGGTGTTGTGTCATTTCAGTTGGTAGTGTTTGTGTTGGTTGATTCAGTCAGTGATTGACCACTCTGTCTCACTCTCTCTCTCTTTCTCCACCAAATAACACCACTTTTTAATACTTCGATAAAACAGACGGACGGAAACGATGTTAGATATATAGAATCCTTATAATAAAAGTTTTTTTCTATAGTTTGGTTTGTAAGGGTTAGTTAAGTTTTTACGAGTTGATCACGGATTGATATTAATTAGAAACCATTGAAAACCACAGCTGAGAGTATTGGACAGCTGTTTCATCCTAGTTTGGGAATCATCAGCAGTACGCACCCACTGGGTCTCAGTGACTGAATGGTTTACGAGCTTGCCTTGTAACCGGAAGGTCTTGGGTTCAAACCCTGGTGGTAAGTGCGTACTGCCAATGATTCCCAAACTATGATGAAACAGCTGTCCAGTACTCTCAGCTGTGGTTTTCAATGGTTCTCTAATTAATATCAATCTGTGATCAACTCGTAAAAAGATAAAGGTTTTCGTATCTCCCAATGAATGAAAAACAAAGTGATATTGTTTTTACAGACCTTTCGCTATTTAATGCTGTTAATAGCTTTATCAAAGCAGGATTATTAAACCGAAATTTAAAAATTTCAGCATATATATAACAAAGAGTTAAGAGGTGAGAAAATGGACTTAGATCTACACACATGATTTTATTATTTTTACCAATTGACCCACTTGACAACGAAAAATGACCCTATGCTGACGAACGACAATCAAATTAGTAAACTTTGTTTTGATATCATAACAGATGTACTATTACCTTTGTGATCTTCATTGTTATTTTGACTTTCAATATGTCCCTTTAACTTGACTTAAGTAGTCTATTTTCTCAGCCCTTAACTCTTTGTTATATATAGCTGAGTGGATTTTGTAAATTCTGGTTTAATATCACTAATTTGATAAAGCTATTAGCAGCATTAAATAGCGTAACGTCAGTAAAAACAATATCGTTTTGTTTTTCATTCATTGGGAAATACAAGAGAACCTTTAGTATAATGAACTCAGTACCAAATATAGGCTATAAGAATGACGCTACGCCCATCCCGTATATGCAGAAATCAAAAAGACAGGAGGAATTAAATTAATGGATGATAGCTAGCAATGGAATCCAGAATAACGCGCATTTCATCCTATTTGGAAATTGTCATCCGGATGCATTTGCGACATATTACTTCAGGTTAAATACACACACGTAGTCGAAGCATTCGCACAACGAGTCAATATGTCAACAGAGACCGAGGATTTCGATTCAATCAATCAATCAATCGGAAAAGTTAAAATTGAATTAAATTACGACGAATGAATACAACAAAAAAAGTGGTACGAAAAGATTTATATGACTACGAGTAACAAATAGTGATCATAACACCATCTAGTTATGAATATCATGTCATTGTGTGCGTGTGTGTTATATCAAATCAACTTCTTTAATATGGAATAAGTCACTCTAAGTAGCGAAATGCCGAATCTAAGTCTTAACCTAACTGGCTCTCATCGTAAGATGTATCTGTAAAACCTTGAAGGAACTGTGATACCCCCCCCATCTCACAGTTATCTATTAGCACAGACAAGCTTCTTAGTTAATCATGAAATCATAATTTATGCATCCAATAAACATGATAACGTGATTGGGCAGTTTTTTTAAAAATTTGTTTATTTATGGCTTAAATTTCCGAGGTTTTTTTTTTTTAAAATAAACGTTATCGTTGTTATTCAAGTATTGGCTTGTACGTATTAAGTTGATTGGATGCAGGATTTCAACATGAGCTGACATTAGTTAGAGAACCATTGGAAAACCTGGAAGTACTGGACAGCCAAGTGCTTCGTCCTAGTTTGGGACTCTTCAGCAGTACGCACCCACCGGGATTCGAACACAGGACCTTCTGGTTACAAGGCGAGCTAACTCGTAGACCATTCAGCCACTGGGACCCGATCCAATGGCCAGCCCATAAATTCTAACTTCTGCCAATTCACGACATAGCGCGATCCCGAGCCAATGTCTTCGGTGAGTATTTGTCCTCACACCCGACCTGCTGCACCCTACTGATTATCGTTGTTGTCTGACTTTTATGTCTATCTCAATATAGAGAGGAGGGGATATTTTCAAATGGTCAGTAGGTGCTAGTGTTGTGTTTACAGGCAATCTCTGTCATAACAACATTATTCAAATCCACAATTAATCTGTTGTAGGATTATGATTGGTCAGCGTTGTGACTGGATTCAGCACTCAATTAACTGAACTATAAGACCAAACGAAGCACACGATCAATCTTGCTAAATCTTACGGCTAAGTTAGTACAACACTATATCAATTATCAGGTGACTTTTGCTGCAAAACTTTGACTGTATGACCAGAATCGACTCACTGGTTCTGACCTGTTACAATAAAAAATTCACTCATGAAACTATTATACACCCTGATTGATTGTATAAAGGACATTCGTTATGTTTAAGTGTTGGTTTGTAGGGATTTGATTGGATGCAGGACTTCATCATGAGCTGACATTAGTTAGAGAACTATTGGAAAACCTGCAGGGAATACTGGACAGCTGTTTCGTCCTAGTTTGGGACTCTTCACCAGTACACACCCATCAACACGGTTCCAACCCAGGACCTTCTGGTTACAAGGCGAACTAGCTCGTAGACCATCAAGCCACTTGGATCCAATCCAATGACCAGTCTATGAATTCTAACTTCAGGCAATTCACGACATAGCGCGACCCCTAGCCAATATTCGTTATGCATTAGTAATAAATACAAAAGCAAGACAGCACACATACACAGACAAGCAGAAATGAACATAAAAAATAAATGCTTAAATGTACATTACCATTGTTACAATCGATGGTGGTGAACAATTACGAATTGTTGTCGTTTTCTCCTTCTCCGAATGATGATGATTAGGAATATTGACTTGATTCCCCGTCAATAATGATGATGTCTTGTCACTTCGAATTGTACCGCTATTGTTATTATTATTATTATTACTATTACTATTACCATCATCATTATCACCACCACCATCCTTTTTAATATCACCACCTACAGTATCTTTATTCTTTGTACCTTGAGTTTCTTCTTCAGCAGTATCCTTTTGACTTCCATCAATTATTATCTCATTAGTAGTATTATCAGCAATACTATTTGTTGATTGAAATATAATATTGCCAGATGTTGTAGTAGTAGTAGTAGTACTACGACGACAATAGGCTTGTGCTGATGCATGTGCTTGTTTTAGCATAGCACTTTCATCACCGAATGAATCATCCACTTCTTCTTCATCATCTAAATATTCATCAACTTCTTCATCAAAATCATCAATATCAGGACTAGTATTCAGATTATTATTATTAGTATTGCTATTATTATTATTATTATTATTATCATTATTATCATCATCAATATCATCAAGTGCACCATCTACTCGATCCTGTTGATCAGTACTAGTTGAATTATTATTAGTAGTACTGATATTGCCTTCTTTAGATGAATTTGACGCATCTCTATGACTTCCATCAATATCATTATGATGTTGTGAAGAGTCTAGAGAATTTGAGAGTTTTACTGATGAAGAATTATTTGTATCATTAATAATAATATTATTGTGATTAGTATTAATATTGTTTGATTTTGAAGATCGTACAGTGTCACTACGAATAGGTAAATCCAAGTGTAAACGGGTTTGAGCACAATGTTGTTGAGTAATATCCTAAATATATATATATGAGAAGACAGAAAAGCAATCATATATGATGACGTAAATATAAGTGATGATGGTGAAAACAAAATTACTAAGGATCTAGAACGCGTTTTTTTTTACTTAACTTGTGTATGACAAGGTCCCCCCTCAGTCGTTAGCTTGAAAAATTTACCCCACTGATCGAGTGCAAGAATGAGTATTTTGTCTTTTCATTCCATTGCGCTCCGAAAGCGATATAGGGCGTCATGATTTGGAGAATTTTAAGTAGTGTTGCCATTTTTACGGATGGAGAGGTTGCTAGCCACAAAGCCTAACTGTCTCTCTTTTCTAAGCTTTTAAATGAACCAGGCGATGTTTAGGAGACTGTCAGTCTCTGGAATTGAACTCCCCACTAGTGAGCACATTCTACTAACAGCATTAAAAAACAGACGCACCAGAATGATGCGTACTGAGATACAAAAAAGTATATTAGAACAAGACATATACGCAAACAGTATTGTTCTTCAGGCTTTACTCGAATTTACATAGATTTATACATAGAAAATTCAACTAATAACAGTGAGTTTGTGGATCAAATAATAATCATACTAAACTGCTCCTGCAGAGAAAGCTATAAAGGGCAAACAACCAGACAGCTCAACAAATGTATTAATGAGCATTTCCTTCGTGGTTCGGAAAAGGCCAAATAAAATCTATAAGAAGTTCTATTTTGCCTCATCTGATTGATGATAGAGCTCACCAAGTGCCTTCAAAGTTATCTATCGCATTCCATCGAACCTTCCGAACGGAATGCGAATCCGCCTTTTACACATAACCGCGAACTATGGGAATTAATTTGAGACAACAATCCTAGTGTCTTTGCATACAAAAAAAGTTTGTTCTACGTTTGTCTCTCCTTTGGCCTAGGTAAATTCTAATTCAAACCCTCCCAACCTTTCATACTTTCTTCATACTCTGATTATCTGTCCACTTCTTTTTAAGTATTACGTAACTTTTTAAAATTTGATCTAATTTATTTATTGAATTACCTGTATTTACACATATTAATTAATACCTTCATTAGTCTTATTGCCACCTGCATAAACCTTATTATCATTATTTTTGTTGTCATTATAATCTTCAATAGTTGGTTTGCAAGGATTAGATTTATTTTATACGAGTTTAACCAGGGATTGATAAAAGTTAGAGAACCATTGAAAACCAGCACAGGAGTACTGGATAGCTGTTTCATTCTAGTTTGGGACTCATCGGCAGTACGCACCCACTGGGGTTCGAACCCAGTTACAAGACAAGCTCGTATACCATTCAGCTAAAGGGAGCCGATTCAATAACCAGTCCATGAATTCTAACTTCTACCAATTCGTGATTTAGTGAGACTACCAACCAATGTCATCGGTGGGACATCCATCCTCACACGTGGTTAGATGGACCTCACTGGTCACGACTTCTCATTAGAACTCCAGGAAACTCAGTCTTGTAGCAAGTCACCAGCGAGCATCATATTAATTTTCAATAGTTGGTTTGTCCAGTACTCTTTGGTTTTCAATGGATCAGAGCCATTAATGGGTAGTAAAGCGATGTCATAGTTATTTCGATGAATATATGTATAGGATTTGGTGTAACTTTTTCACTGATACTCCTATGCAAAACCGAGAGATGTTTTTATCACATATGAGAGAAAGGTATCCTCATATCCGTTTTTATACAGTTTTTATGCATTTTTCTGTAAACATATGTATTCCACACCGAAAAATACCTCTTTTATGTGATTGGTGCGTTCAAGGCCATTCACTGATTGGTAGTTAGTGGTGCTCAAAATTTAACATTGCCTAATAAATGATATGAATAAAATAATAATTACACAAGAAAAATTGTTAGATGGTATAATCAATGACAAATTTGACTTACCCTACCCATTTCACCCATTACAGCAACTGGTGTCATGCCTAAATGAGCGGCAACTTTATGTTCAACCAAATAAAATATATATTCATCATAAAGTAGGCGGATAAGATGAAAACTACCAAAACTTGATGCTGATCTTAACGTCAAATCACGTATCACCATTGAACTGAGATAAGGAGAAAAAAAGATAATATTAATAATGCCAAAAATATATAGAACAACAAATGACTAGATGAAAAATACATGACAGTATAAACTAGTAAGTTACTGAGTTCTACAAAAAAAGGAAAGCAAAATGAGTTGTACAATATTCTTAGGTTGATCAAATAAAGGATTTATGACGTAAATAGGTGGTATTATAACCGTGAATATACTTGGTAGTCTGCGCTAATGAATTTCCTACCTAGTTGATTCCCGAGCCTACTGTTCTAATCACTGTTAACAACGACGACACGATACGAAACTACCGAACTAGTGACGCAATAAAACAAACCGTTGATGTAGAGAGATTTTACTGTCTCGTGTATATATATGCTTCGAATGGCCTTGCAGACACTAATTGCATTGATAAGTTAAGACAGTCAACAACCAGGTTAAGTGCTCTGGAGGGGGGTATACAAACAGCACTGTAAAGACAAATGTATTTTAGGAAAATTAGGTCTAAATAACAATAGGTAACTACTCTTGAGTAGTAAATTTGTACATAACACCTACCCCTGAAGATTGACAGTCTGTAAATTCAGATGTCAAGAAAATCCATTGATTAGGATGTCCCAGATATTTGTTACACTTACCAAACTCTCGCTTTCTTCGTCGAGCAATCTTAGATAAATCAGAAGTAGATTGGAAAAGAGTTACAGGTGGTCAAACCAAAACCTAGCACCATCAATCCATGAAGTCTTTGACTGTTGGCTTGAGGAAATCACGTAAGAAGGTGTACAGTACCTGGTTGCAGTCCCCAATACGCTGCGAAGCAATGGTTTGAAACTTTTGGTGATGAAGCTCAAGACGCAAGCTAAACTGCTGTGCTCTTGTACAAAGTTCTCACTTGAAACTTGAGTTCAGTTCCGAGGAAATGTGGCAATCTGTAATTGGCACTACACCAACAAGCACTAGACGTAGGTTAGAAAATACTCCTTGATGACTGGCTTCTACCATCCAATACTATATATTTCAGATTGGTTTTGGATATTGCCATATTTTCCAAAGTAAAAATAACACTATATGTATAGTTTTGACTGCTATAGACGTGCATAAAACACAGTATAAGAAGAGAATTTAGGCACTATACTAGTGTATAATTCCGTGATCGGGTTTCCATATCGAAATGGACAAATTGTTTGAAAAATCCCTCCTGAACAATGCATTTATAACATTAATACTTATTTAGACGTTTCAACTAACTTTGTATTTTATTATACGTCTTTCCCCCTAGACCATTTATCATTCATTAGTTTTACATTTTTTGTATCACATGTGGACTTTGACCTTTATCCGTGTTTAATCTTTATTTGTAATACATTTCTTCGTGGCTGTGTGCATTTACAGTGTGTTGTTTAACAGTATGAATTTGTTTGACTGAATGAAGGTCACTCTGACTTGGGACTGTGTCTGTGGGAAGCGTTGGTGTGTGATTCTAATAGATGGAGCTTTTGATCCCACTTCGTTGGGAATACTTTGTTGATTTTTGATGACTTTATTTTGTTTGTTTGCATGTTTCTTTAATTGCTTGTAATTCTTGTATTCATTTATAACTTTTATGTAATTTCGTATAATATACTTTGTTCCTATGTGTATCCTGAGTAAAGCCCAATCATCAAATTATTCATATTATTATGTAACTTCTTTTTAACAACTGTTTGTGACAACTCATCACCTTACTACACTAATTTCACTAACACCCAATTTTGTTGACTATTTTTGTATTACGTAACTCTACCCAAAACTTACTAACTCTCACCTGTTTACTTAAAATAACGATAACCAATTGTAGTTATGCTTGACAAACTTAATGTACACATACATACAAAATAACTGATATATTTGCGATTATACAGCTAAGAAAACGAATTCGCTGACGAAGAGACTTTTCGCTGAACTACGTGTTTTGTTTTCATTAATGCCTGGATGGGAATTATTCATCAATATAAACGCGTCTCAATGGAGGTTTGTCGGCTATATAATATAAAATGTAGAGATCAGTTTTTTGCATTCCACCTATAATCGAATGATTTTGGTCGTTACAAAGTTAGCGCTTAAACTGAATGCAGGTTACTCCCATAGTGTGTAAGTTGTGGTTGATACTTGTGACTGGTTCATAAAAAAATCTGTTCTAGATATAACTAAGCCTAAACAAACAACCACATTGGGCTGTCTAAATTCCCGTCACTTTTCTTCCTCTATTTCTTATCATTTTAATCATTTAATTATATCACCGCGCAAATTGTTTATCTTATTACCCAGGATAGATTGTCACGAACCAGACTAAGAGATACATTTCATATGATGACTGGTGATACTAACCAGCTGTATCTAGGCTAAAGTAGATGGTAAAATGGAACTCGAACCCACGACTAATCAATCAGTTGAAAGTCGAGCGCATAAGCCAATGAACTACATATCTCCATATCCTTGGATAGCAATGAAGGAAAAAGATTTTTCAAGGAAATGGATTTTGTGCTATACGATGTAACTGTTGATTAGTACTGTTACTCGAAGATTATGTAATACAATGCAGTACGAATTCTCATTACTATTATCTATAAACACTGACTTAAGTAAAAGTATCATATAAATGACATCAAGACACTCCCACTTCAATCTCAAGTATCCTTAAATTTGAAGAAAATGAAGTTTTTTTTCAAGTCTACTTTAGCACTTTAATAATGAAAGAGTATGATTTTATACTTTATTTATTTCACATCTAAATTTATGTGAAATAAGAATTCCTTTCAAATGAATACACTTCTAAACATCAAGTCATTTCTTCTATACGGATCAGAAAGAATATTTCCAACAGCCTGTTGCAGACCTTCACCAACCAACAACTGTATTCGCTGGCTCTATACTGAAGATCAGATGGCTTGGTCGGAAAGAATCACCAACAAGAAACTATGGCTGGGAACAAACAAAACAAGAACCAATCGCCAACCAACAAATATGCAGGAGAAAGTGGAAATGGATTGGACACTCGTGGCTGAGGAGGCCGCTGGGTGATATTGCGCGTCAGGCCATTGCTCGAGTGGAACCCAAAAGGGAAGCGGCGAGTGGGTCGTCGGTGCAAGGGGTGATGTGGAGGAGATCGTGTGAAGAGAGAGGAGTTGAAAGAGTATGGATTAACATGGATACAGGTGAAAAGTACAGCAGAAGGAAGACAGAAGCAAGTGGAGACGTGAAGTTGAAGCCCTATTTTCCACTAGGAACCCAAGGGAACAATAATGTAATAATAATAATAATACACATTTAAACAGTACACGAAAATGCATTGAACAAAATTAAATGATGAAATACAGTGGAGAAATGTGACTGCAAGACAAAAGCGACAATGAAATGAGGAATTTTGAAGAGAGTTAACTTGTAGGAATTTAATTTTTCTCAAGTTTTCGATCAGGGATTTATATCAGTTAGGGAACCACTAAAAACCAGTAGGTGGTGTACTGGACAGCCGTTTCATCAACCCAATTTAGGACTCCTCATCAGCAAGCAACAACTAAGGCTCAAATCCAGGACCTCCATGTTACACAAGGCAAGCTCATAAACCAGTCATCCACTGAAACCTAACTCAATGGACCATAAACTCCATCTTCTAACGAGCTTACCTTGTAATCTCAGGAGGTCCTGGGTCCGATCGAACCCCTACACGGTGCGCAATGCAGATGAGTCTCAGACAACGACGAAACAACTGTCCACTACTCCCTGGTTTTTAATGACTCTTTAACTGGTATCAATCCGTGATCAGACTTTTAATAAAGAATAGTGATGATTTCCTATTTGATGGAGGTGGTGGTGGTTAGCGGTGGAATCCATAATATACGCGTTTCCCCGTCTTGAGACTTCTCACAGTTAGATGTACCTGTTATCCAGCAGTAAGTGATGGCTTTCCCACCAAAATTCAAACCCTATACCCATCATTTCAAAAATGCGAAAACATTATCCTCACTGGACCATTTGACAGTATCACGCTAAGCGTTCAAGGAGCCCATAACGTGCTAAAGTAAGGTTGACATACCACCACCAATGGAGAATCATAAACAGGAATAGTCTAAACGTTAGTGACGTTTAAAATTTCCAAGGTAATAATAATAGACTGTACACTATTACGCAAACCATAATCAAACCACAAGAGTTATTGATTCCTTAATATTTCGAGTCTCGACTGACTGTCAACTTAAACGTCTTTAGACAGCTCTAAGCATCCCTGTTATAATAAAAAATTCTTATCTAATCCCAGATCGTTTCCTCCCAACCAGCTAGAGGGAAGGGGTGAATAACAATCTCACTGAGTGATTTACTTTCTACAAACCAACACATGTCAAGATGGGAAAAATAAGTAAAAGAAAACACAACTGGAAATGTACAATAATGAAATAACATTTGCTAATTTATGGAAAAATTTTAAAAAACAAACAAAACAATTATTCTAATTGAAATACCCACCTGTAAAAGGACCATTTTAGGACTAATTGATGTGCAGCTTTAGTATAGGCTAAGCTATTACCTTCAAGTGGTTGTAAAATACTAGTAACTACTGTATCTAACCATTGAGCCCATTCTTCTAGAGAGGCATGCTTTTGTAATATTCTCTTGAAATCATGCTCTAATTGGCTTACAGTAGCATCACTGCATTGACAAACCCATGAAGCTTGTTCCTTTGAGGGTGGAAAGGAGATAGAGAGAGATGTAGAGGGAAAAAATCAATAAACGAAAATGCTATGGTTGAAATCAATTGATAACTTTATGTATTATGATTTAGTACACTGGGATAGATACAATTAGACAGTGAAGCGTTCACATCCTGTAAGAACCAGTCATACGAATTACATTTGAGTAGACAGAGTAGAGCTCGAACCCGCAACCCGTTGATTGAAAATTGACCAAACCTATATGAATGAGCAATGCATTTCTACATATATAGCAGTGATGGCATTTAGAGGCATGAAATGTGGTTAATTGGTGTATGTATCCACTAAGTCTCCGATCACTGAATGTTAAGTTAAAATCTGAACATCCGAGTAATTTCATAAGCGTCCCCCCTCCCTAAATATCAATTAAGACTCAGTATCTAGTAGTAAATGGGAAATACCGGATATCCGAGTTGTTTTGTGTTCTATTAAAGAAACCAAACCTACATAGACCATCAAATAAATAGCCTATTTTTCTCTACACGAGTGAAATAAACATTCAATGACTTCACGATTTGATATGAAGCTTTGATCCATTCACTATACATTTTCTTTTAAACTCATTCTACTTTAGCTGGCATAGTATACTGAAATGACTCAGGGAGTGACTTGTTACCATCAGGGAATAACCTCGTTGACTTAGATGATTATATGCAGATGATATAGTCCTCCCTCCTAGGTGAAGATGGTGACAAAATGCACAGTTTTCAGAACACCTTGAGCGGCAGCAATCTTCGAATTTGTGGCATCCGATTAGCTCCTGTCGTCAAATGTAAGATGAAGCTACAGGACTGGACTACATTGTCTTCTAGCTTAGAAATAGGGAGTGAAGTGGTTGGTGGAGCGTGTTGACCACTTCACCTATTTGGGAAGTTGCATCAGCCAGTGCGAACGAGTTGATTGCTGACGAAATCTCAGTACGGATACAGAGGGCTAGTTTCGCATATGCCAGTTTACGCCATCGCTGGCGTAGACGTGATATCCGGCTGTTGACCAAAGGGCGTGTGTACTGCTCAAAATTTCGTCCCCACCCCCTTCTTTATGTCTGTGTGACATGGAGATTGCAAGTCAAAAATACGAAAAGGCCGGCTAGCTGTCTTTGACCATACGCGTCTGCGTTTTATCTCCAGTGTTGCATGGTAGGTGTAATAAGATGAGCAATATTGAAGTGAGGCGTCGGTCGAGTACTAGGTAAGGTAGGAGGGGAAATCAATCGACGAGGCTGTGAAGCTACATCGACTGAGATGGTTAGGACATGTGTTACGAATGCATGCCTAGCCATCGCCTTCCCCTACACTACCGGGCAATATTAGCTGACGTAGGGTCAGGTTGGAAAATAGGCTGTATTGGTCAAACTAAAACATGGCCTCATCAGTCAATGAAATCCACAACAGTCAGTTTAAGCCGCGTAGGAAGGTGGAGACTTCCCGGCTGGGGTCTTCAGGACAGTAAAAACCAATGAAGGCTGGAGACAATTGGTGATATGGCTCAAAATCGTTTTAATGGCTAGCGGAGATGCATCCACTCCTTGTGACTTATTATACTTACTATTCCTTTTGTCTCATATCCCTGTCTACTGTCTCTATTTTGCATTCCTTTTTACTTTCTTCTCTTGCTTTGTTTGGTACATGGAGTGTGGCGACTCGAACTGCTGCACATATGTGCTAAGTTCTATGTTGAAAACAGACAGGCAGCACAATGAAATGACAGGTGATTAAGCTTGCAAGCGATGACGATAAAACGGTTGAAAATTAAATAGTTATCTGGTGTGTACTACTGACAAATCTTGTCAGTAGTATATATAGGGAGACGTTCATCGACAGTAAAATATCAAATAACAGGGAGATAGATTTGATGTCAAACTCAGCGAATCAACGAGTGATGTAGTAAAACACGGGAGACATGAAAAGATGATAAAGAAACACAATACGAAGGGCAGAAGTAGCACGACACGGTAGATCTGTGCAAATGACGATTTTCATATAAGGTGTGCCAAGTCTCTGGTCTTCTACCGTTACACCTACTGCATCCATCATTTTTGTACTCACTATAATGCAGGTGTTTATATTACGACGCTCTAAGAAGCAGCTTAGGAGTATTTATGTCCAGACAGGTGTATTCACATCTTGAAACCATTTAAATACTAGCTGATGGAAAGGTTTTACCATCACTTGGTCTCCCATACATCATACTACTAAACATTTTTCGCTAGTCACTGATGGACTCTTCAATGTATCTTTTAAATGTTCAAAGTATTCTATCGAAAACAACTGCAAACTAATCGTCATATTCGTCGACATTCAAAATAAATTCACAATACTTGTTAAAATGTATGCGTATTCATGTGGCTAGTTTGATTGAGTACTTAACTTTCAACCAGTGAGTCTCAGGTTCGGACGCCAATTTATCTAATTCAGCCAGGGGAATGTCTATCTATCTGTTTTCGACATAGAACTTTGTACAAATGTGCGGCACACTCCACTCCTTGTAGCACACAAAGCAAGAGAAGAAAGTACAAGAAATGCATAACAGAGACAGTAAACAGAGGTGTGAGACAAAGGAATAGTAATAACGAAGAACAAAACAGTTTCATTGGAAATCATAAGTCACAAGAAGTGGATGCCTCCGTGCCAGCCATTGAGAACGATTTTGAGCCATATCACCGATTGTCTCCAACCATTGGTTTTTACTGTCCCGAGGACCCCAACCAATCAGGAAGTCTACACCTTCCTACGAGACTGTCTTAAACTAACTGTTGTGGATTGCATTGACTGATGAGACCATGTTTTAGTTTGACCGCCGCTAGCTCTTTTCCAACCTGACCATTTGTCAGCTAACATTCCCCGTCGAGGAAAGCGACGGCTAGGCGTGCATACGTAACACATGTTCTAACCATCTTGTTTATTGATTTCCCCTCCTTACATAACCTCAATATCGCTCATCTTATTATACCACTTCACACGGGAGATATTACTCAGACACCTAAGGTCAAAGACAGCTAGGCGACCTTTTCATGTCTTCCACTCCCAATGGCCATGTGTTGCTCACAGCCATAAAGGAGGACGGAGCGGGCTGCTAAGCAGTACACTCGCCCTTTGGTCGATAGTCGGATATCACGTCTACACCAGAGACGGCGTAAACTGGCATATGTGAAACTAGCCCTCTGTATCCGTACGGAGATTTCGTCAGCCAGGGGAATTCAGTAGTATCATTAGCTGTCACACAAAATAATAGTCTACCCCATAGGTATTTTACTACATGATAACTCAATTCCTACCAACTGAATTTACACAACAACAACAACAAACCTACAAACAACTCTCAACAGTAAAATAATTGCAGAATCTCTTGAAAAATTGTTCAAATAATAAAACAATAAGCTGAATTAAACAATAACGAACGGTATATGTAACCATGGTGACGCTGATTATTTATGTCTTTCAAGAGGAACAAATTTCCAGTGATTATTAATTCCATTAACTAGTTTGATATTTTATAATTAGTAGTAAGGGCGTTTCAGCTTTTTCTTCTTCTTAAAGAATTTAAACAAAAAATAGTTGACACAACATCATACATTTTATAGAGTATAACAATGTAGAAAGAAAAATTAAAAGTATAAAATGGTAAACTTAGGGCTGATACATTTGACCCGAGTAAATCATTCACTCACCAACTCACTCACTCACCTGTACATTATTAAAGTCAACACGATTAAGATCAGTTAACATTTGATTAATTTGATTAGCATTTTTTAAAACAGCTCGTGCAGCTTGAGCTAAATGATTTAGACTAGTATAACGTCGTAGAGTTTGTGCCAGTGCTGAAACAGCAGAGACTTTTAAACCAACAAGAGCTGAATCTAAACCAAGCGTGGCTTGACGCATCCAACCCTAAATAAAGGAGAAAACAAAATATTTTGATAAATTAGAAACAGAGAAAGTAAACTATCTGCTAATAACACACAGTACACGGTTAATGAAGTGACAAGACATCAGCTTCACTTCCTAATGATCAAGACAAATAATTCATTTTTTTCTCAATTATTTAAATCACTCTCTGTCCAAAACAATCTGGCTTCAGGAAAGGCAAATCATGTGAGCATAAAAATTGCAATTCTACGCATCGACATGGGACAGAGTGTAGAATGGCAGTCAAATCTCCAACTCCAATATATCGACTTCGGGAAAGCTTTCGACAGCGTTGACAGCAAATTCATTTGGAAACTACTTCAAGGCTATGGCGTGCAGTGCATCAAATGTATAGTCAACTGATTCAATAGCTATATGAAAATGACACGTGCCAGGTGATCCACAACGGAAAACTCAGGGGAACCTTTGAAGTGAAAACAGAAGTAAGGCAAGATATGGACGGGACAGTATCTAAATTATCGTAGTTTCTGTCCACTACAGTATAAAAAGGCGTTGGTTAAGTGTTTGTTCAAGCGCATTCACCGTATATGTACTGCCAATACAATTGAAGAAGAAAGACAACACCTCACTGAAATATCCTTAGATAACAACTACCCACTGAGATTTATTAGGCCTAAGGAAGTGTCAACCATACAGCTCTACCAATCCAATCAGCTCCCAAAAGGATGTTTACATATCCTTGCCGTTCAGACGTTATCAATGAGGTCTGGTCACTAGACAAAGACTCAAGGCCGCAATTAATAGAACTTCTTATGCAGCTAAACTTATCTTCATAGAGAAAACAAGAACTATGCTGTCCTGTAAACCCTCACATTATCAAACGATAGTGTCACATCCCACTGTGTTTATCAATTTACATGTATGTGTGGAGTCACGTACATAGGGAGGACCTATCGGTCTCTGCAGGTTAAGGCTACAGAACACATTCCAAAGTGGTTCCAACAACAAATAAAATCGCCAGACATAAATGACCCCGAAAACAGATGTCCAACATCATCTATAGCGAATCACATTATAGAGACGTGTCTTAAGGTTGTTTGCAACAATGCCTTTAAACCGATATATAAAAAAAAGGTTGGGTCACATAGTAAAATTCAATGAAGCCTTAGCCATAAAAAGACTTAAACCTGTCTTATGTGTCCAAAAGTTATTTGTTATCACCTTAAACCTGCCTTGGTAATCCAAGCCAGAACCAAGGACCAATTTAATTCATAATATTTTCAACCCCTTCTTTGCCTTGTTTTTTCTCTTTTCTCATTTTATCTTTCTCACCCACACCTTTTGTGTCTGCCTACCCATTATTTGTGACCTTTACCTGTACACAATCTGACCTGTATTGTAATTATTCATGCCTTCTTGCCTTTTATAAAAACTGTGTATGAAATGTACGTGTGTAATCAGAATGTCCGAAACGTGTTGCGCCAATACATTACACGTTTCAGATAAACTACGACTTCTTATTGTGCTGTCGAAATTCATAAATGGAACTAATTGCTTTAAATTTCTATTATCACCAGTGATATTCCTAATTGTAGAGTACTGGATTGTGCGGAACACAGTACGTGGGAGGCGAGGAGACAGAAATACGTTAGACCGATACGAAGCCTTTGGAAGATCTAGATCTAGCGGGTGACTTATGTTTAGTGTCACAGAAACTCGAAGACTTACAGATGAGAACCAACAAACTGGCAGAAGAGGCTGGAGGCAAAGACAGGATTTCAAGTGAACATAGAGAAGACAGAGGTGATGAAAATAACTAAACAGCTAAGAACAAGAATCACCAATTATTGTTGACAGAATAAATTTGGAAGTAGTTACATCTTTCACCTATCTACGAAGCATCGTTTCAACAAATTTAAGTGGAATGGATGAAGATGTCAAAACCAGAATCGGAAAAGGAAGACTGACTTTCATCACTATCAAGTCAGTTTGCGAACCATCTGCACTCACCATAAAGAGCGAAATTCGCATTTCCAACACCAATGTCAAAGTCAGTCACCTTCCCTAAACGGACCAGAGATTTGCAATGCGCGTCACGAAAAGCATTTTCAACAGACCACTGCAGACTTTCGTCAAAAGCTGACTTTACTCAGATGGCAGGAAAGAATTAGCGACAAAAAACTCTGGGAACAAACCAATCAAGAATCCATTCCGCGACAAATATCCCGAAAAAATGGAGATAGATCGGATAGGCACTGAGAAGACCGTTGGATGATATCGCGCGCCAGACCATTGCTTGAGTCGAACCCAAGTGTGTGTGGGGGGGGGACGATGAGTTTGGAGTGACTACGAGGATGATATGGAGATCATGCAAGGAGGAGATGAAAGCTTATGGGGAATCGTGGAGCCAGCTGAAGAAGACTGCAGAGAACAGAACAAAGTGGAGACATGCTGTGAAGCCCTATATTCCACTCGGAACCCAAGGAAGTAGTAATAATAATACAAAGTAGTTTTCAAACGAATTGTGTAGTTAGTGATAACATTGGAAATCGAATAATTGAGAGAGAAAAAGCACAAGACAAGAAATAAGTTGAAATAGCAGCTATATTAGAGATGTAAACCAAGTGTTTCTGCACTCATAGAATAAACTGTGACTACTATCAGACTGCTGACAATGGAGTTTTTTAAAAACTACCAGAAATGTATACATGTCAAAAAACTTGGAGGATCTGGACTTCCCCGATGATATTTGTTAATTTCCCATAAACTGAGAGATATGCAAGGTGGCAGAAGAAGCATCAAAGATATGACTTCACTTCAGGTGAACATAAAGAAAACAGAGGTGACCAAGATCCCTGCGCAACACCGACAGCAACAACAACAACAGACAACAATCAGCCTGCATAAATGGGAGGAACCTGAAAGAAACAACCTCCTTCATCCACCTACCTGGGAAGCATCGTTTCGACTACAGGCGGAACTGACGAGGATATCGAAGCAGGGGTCGGAAAAGCAAGACAAGCTTTCATTACTCTCAAGTCTGTGTGGAGGTCAACAGCACTCAGCATGAAAATGAAAATAAGGTCCGGATTTTCAACTCCAATGTGAAGTCAGTCAGTGCTATTAGTATATGGATCAGAGACTTGGTGCGTTATGAAGAGAACCTCAAACAAACTACAGACCTCCACCAGCAGTTGTCTTCGCTCAATACCTCTCAAGATCAGATGGCCAGAACAGATCAGAAACGGGGATCTCTGGGAGAGAACCAACTACGAACCGATTGTGCAACAAATCTGCAGGAAGGAATGGAGGTGGATTGGCTATACTCTGAGGAAACCATCAAGCGACACCACTAGACAAGCCATTGCTCGAGTGGAACCCGAAAGGGAAGCGGCGAGTTGGTCGTCCAAGGGTGACTTGGAGGAGGCCATGTGAAGAGGAAATGAAAGCATGTGGGCAGACTTGGAGCCAGGTGAAAACTCTAGCAGAGAACCGAACGCAATGGAGACGTGCGTGGCTGAAGCCCTAAGTTCCTCTAGGAATTAAAGGAGATAATAATAATATTATAATAATGTGTACGTGTTATTTTTACTCGGAACCTATTCATAATGGCGTTAACTTAAGAAAAATAATCCCTTAATGCAACAAACAAAGCATTAAAATACACTAACTATGTAAAGGGTGTTGATACTATTTTACAGGTTCTGAAAGAGGGATATATATACCAATATCTAATACCTACTACATTTCTCGAGATGAGAGAAGCATTTAATTCTACCAACTGAGAAGTAGATTACCAGACTGTGAGAGGAAGACCAAGGAAGTGTATTATTATAATAGAAGTATATTACTCTAACTTTTTTATTTACTTTCCCAAAGTGTGATAGATAGCATGAACTGATGCCCTTCTGTGCACAATTCTACACTGACTAATGAATGAATTTTCAGCTAACAACTATAAATTGGATAGACCGTCAGTCGACTAAATCACTTTTACGTTTTAACATCACTTACACTAAGTTTGTTTCTCTTAAAGGAGTATATGAATTTCTAACATTCCTGAATAATTGTTTTACATTATATTAATCAACTCTAATAAATGAAGTTGACATAATACTGTGGTGAGAGATGGCTGTATGCCAAAATTGTTGACAACAAATTTACGTTAATGTTCACAACCCGAATCAGGGTCATGAGAAAAAAACAATAACAAGGCGTAACATTGAGAAAATCACCAGCCAATCACAATAGAGTTAACGTGTGGAAATATGATTTGCAGATATATGGCTTGATTTTCTGAGAAATGGCCACAAAGAAATAATAGAATAACCTTCAGGAAGAAAACAATCAATCAGAAGAGGTTGCTTCTCCGTTAACAATAATGTACATAAAAATCTATAAATACCTCTTGATTTTCTCAATGAACAATCTGTTAACTGGTTCTTGTCTTCTGTCGTTACAATATTACACTACTCGATCAATATAAGTAGTTGGAAACCCCTCACATCAAACAGCTATTGCTTACAAATCACTTCATTCCCGGGCTTATCAAGTAGTAGTAAAGTAAGACTATTAAGTGTACTCAAAACCTCGACAGCTTTCAAGAAGTATCAAACACAACTGAAATATTGAATGATGACAAAAGGTGGACTTTTGGATTTATTAAGTGTAAAGTTGCTCTAATGTTTTATCATGACCCTTAACAACAACTGCTCAACTATAGTAGTAATAACCCAATTAGTTATCCACAAAAAGAAACTGTGTGCAGACATTGTTTAAAAGAGTTCAAACACACTGTACTACTCCAGTGTTGAAAAGAATGGAGGAAACACACCTGCTAACCAACCGTCTTCAAAGAGAATGCATATCCCCACAATTTCATCAGAAGTTGCTTAAAACCGAGTCAAAACACACCAACAACAAACCATCATCAAAGACCATACAAGAAAATTCATCCTACCATGTATAAAAAAAATCTCCGAAATAACAACTAGAATATTAAAACCGTTTGAAACAGATATAGCACACAAGCCAGCCAACCAGCACAATCACTTCATTCGATATTGTGCAAACCGATAGATCCAACAGAAAACGAAAAGAAAGTTAATACAATTTACAAAATAAATTGTATGAACTGTAACAGGTAGTACATCGGTCAAAGTGGGCGCCCGCTTCGAATCAGAATACAAGAACACAAATTAGCTGTAAAAAGACATGATATACATTCTTTCATATCAATGCATGTGGATAATTATGGACACCAATTTGATGCTTGGGATAATGTCAAAATTTCAAACAGAGGAAACACCGAAAATACTGCCAGAGAATTCCTAGATGCCTGGTAATCACTCAATTGAATCAGTCAGCAATTAACAAACACATCACCTCTATAGACTAAATTTACTAAGTAATAAAAACTAAATCACGTGACAAAGAAAGTTCAAATTCCATATCAATAAAAAATGATCAATACAAATGTTAGTCGACTACCAATTACGACGATGGTTGCTAAGAGACATAATTAGATCCTTCGTGGAGAATTTAAATCAGTTCAATTTATGCTAAAACTTGTGCTAAAAATGTTGTCCAGAAGGACGACGAAAGCTTCACAATCAAACCAACCAGCTCCTCAGAGAACACAACTAATTCAAAATCATCCACCTGAGCTCTATTACTCTTAAAAAACTTAGTCAAGATAAACTTTCTTGTGTTAATTAAACACATATAAGAAAAAATTTATACAATAAAAATAAACATACTTCAAGAGATTTAGCAAAATTACGAATTGCTTGTGTTAAAGTTGGCGGAATAGGTCGAAGTACATTTGGAATTAAAACTTCAGCTAATGATTGATAGAAAGTATGATCATAAAGTCGAACAAATTGTAAAATAGCAGGATCTGATACAAGTGAATATAAGCGTTCCTGAGATAAACTTTGTTTTAAACGAGAATCCTAAAATAAAGAATAAAAAAGGGAGAAAATAAAGAATAAATTATAACGCGTATACGAAGTGATCACTTCGGCGATTGCCAACACAGCTGACTGATGAACGTTGACAATCTAATAAGTAAGTCGATCTAATTTTCAAATGTCGGCGGCTTGCAGGGAATCGATTGGTTAAAGGATTTCATCATGAGTTGATTTCGGTTAGAGAACCATTGGATAGCCTGTAGGGAGTTCTGAACAGCTGTTTCGTCCTAGTTTGGGACTTTTCATCAGTACGCACACATCAATAGGGTCTGAACCCAGCACTTCCCGGTTACGAAGCGAGCTAGTAGACCAGCAAGCCATTGGGACCCGATCCAATAGCTCATCCAATACCTTATTACGCAGGATGTTAAGGTTTGTCAGCAGGGTAAGCAACGTGCCACTTAACCAGCCTGTTAATATTCTGGCCGACAGGTGCTTGGACTCATGTGAAAAATGGGCTAAATCCATTTTATCTGACTCACACCACCCTCTTCATTTACAACTTTCCCCTTGTATATCTCTTCAGGGAAAACCAGAGGCCTATATAGAAAACTATAGGTTCGCACTAGAAAGTACAAAAACTCAACCATACCCTACTTAGCTCGTGTTCTGTGCGATAAAGAAAGCATAAGGCGTCATACCTATGACTTATTAAATAGTCAGTAGAACAACTGGATCTCATCTTTCCAACTCATATCATTTACAGGTACAACGTTTTTCTTTCCTTGTTTTCCTTTTCTCTCTCTCTTTTCTTTTTGTGTTATGTGCAGCTTTGTTTGTTTCTTCTGCTTACGCCAGTAAATATGCTACCATCTACTTTTCTAACACCTTCAAACACTTTGTTCACTTTTGGCTTTGCTACTGACATGCTAATATGTTGTTGTCAAAACTAACTGAGATTACCCATAATCTATCTAGAACTTTTTTATTGTTAATGTACTAACTGGATGGAATACTGTAGTGAAATGCAGAGAATTCCATTCTATATCACAAGTACTGTTTTGGAATAAAGCAAATTATTATTATCACTATTATTATGAATTCCAACTTCTGTCAATTCACGACATAGTCCTACAACTACCTAATGTATTCCATCGTTTTTAGTGGATGCAGAGTGGAGAGGAAGTGGAGAGCTACCAAGTCGAGGAGTTGCATCAGTGGAAGGAAGGCAAGATGATAGAGATGAAGATGAAAACAAAGATGAGTGAGTAGTAGAGAGGTTTCGCGTGCGTTTCGGATTGTGAGGGCGATTGTTACTTCCCGGCTGCCCACACCGTGGAAGTTGGTTGCGTGACCGCAGATGTGTTAGTGGACTTAACCCTAGGTGACTTCAGCGACTCAGGGATTGACTTGCTACCAGGGAATAATCTCGTTGATTTGGAATATGCAGACGATATAGTCCTTCTAGGCGAAGACGCTGACGAAATGCAGAGTCTTCTGAACACCTTGAGCCGCAATCTACGAATGTTTGGCATGCGATTCGCTCCCGCCAAATGCAAGATGATGTTACAGGACTGGACTACATCGACGCCTAGTTTAAAAATAGGAAGTGAAGTGGTAGAGCACGTTGACCGCTTCACTTATTTGGGAAGTACCATCAGCCAATGCCAACGGGCTGATCTCTGACGAAATCTCAGCACGAATACAAGGGGCTCGTTTCGCATTTGTTAGTTTACGCCGACTCTGGCGTAGACGAGATGTTCGACTGTCGACCAAAGGGCGGGTGTACTGCTCATCAGTCCGCTCCGTCCTCCTTTATGGTGTGAGACCTGGCCACTGAGAGTGGAAGACATGAAAAGACTAGCTGTCTTTGATCAAAGATGCCTGCGCTCTATTTCCCGTGTAAAGTGGCATAATAAGGTGAGCAACATTGAGGTTAGGCGCCGAGTTCTAGGTAAACAGGGGAAATCAATCAACGAAGTCGTGAAGCTACAAAGACTGAGATGGTTAGGACATGTGTTACGTATGCCAAGTCATCGCCTCCCTCGACGAGCAATGTTAGCGGATATAGGGTCAGACTGGAAAAAAGCTAGCGGCGGTCAAACAAAAACTTGGCCTCACCAGTCAATGAAATCCACAACAGTTGGTCTAAGCCACGTAGGAAGGTGTAGACTTCCAGGCTGGGGTCCTCGGGACAGTAAAAATCTATGGTTGGAAACAATTGGTGACATGGCTCAAAATCGTTCTCAGTGGCAAGCGCAGATGCATCCACTCCTTGTGACTTATGATCTCCAATGAAACTGTTTTGTTCTTCGTTATTACTCCTTTGTCTCACACCTCTGCTCACTGTTTCTATTATGCTTTTCTTGTACTTTCTTCTCTTGCTTCGCGTGCTACACGGAATGTGGCGACTTGAACTTCCGCACATTTGTGCAAAGTTCTATGTCGAAAACAGACAGAGACAGACAGACCTAATGTCTTCCGCGAGTATTTGTTACACAATATTATGTGGTGCGCTCTACTTTTAATAACCAACCAGATACCTAGTATTTAAAGGAAGCTAAAAATCTCATATAATAGAGATCTCTTCTCGTAACTTCACCTCAGAGCTGTACAGTTATTTAAGGGTGAGTGTTTTATTATGCAATACAGATTGATAACTGAGGTCAAAGGTTATCATTGTCAGCCAGTAGAAAAGCAAATCAGAGTGTATGAGTAGTAATAATATGTTTGAAGAATTAATAATGGTCTTACGTAATCAAGATGGTTGACAAATAATTAGTTCAGTGATGAAGAATCATTTGGAAATAGTTGATGAGACAAGAGAACAAAAATAAAAAGAAAGATAAAACGAACTACATAGAGCTTATTAAACTGTTATTCTGGAAGACAGAGAAAAGAGAAAAAATACTACTAAGGCCATGGAAATAAAATAGTCTGGATGAAACGTTTCTGAACATAAGGATCACTAAGACTTCACAGTTGCATAAAGATATAGACGAAATCCTTACGAACGACTTGATCGTACTCGATATATGACTCTGAAAATCTCTACTGATGCTCTATGACCAGAAACGATATGCTCCTGAATTGAGCTATTGACTGTTCTATGTTTTCCCTTTGACGATCATGCTGGTTGATAAGTGTTCATGGCCACATCTACACGACGTCCTGCTGGTATGGCCTGTGGTACTTAGCTCCACAGGAGCAGGTGGAGTGGTAAATACACATTGAAGTCGCCAATAAATAGCGGGATCCTGTCTTTGACGCTCTGGTGAATAAAAGCATGTGTAGAGAACGTGAGGCGTAGAGATGTAACAAAGAACGCTCGTCGAAATGCTCTTGACAGAAGTCCTAGGAGAATCTTCACTAATTGTATCTCCCTTGTATTTCAGATTTACAATTAGTTGTTTCTTTGGCACATTCAGGTTACAAGGAGTATTGGTTTTTCTGAAGGATTGCAATTCCTTATTCAACGCATCTTCACCTGCATATGAAGTAGATTCACGTCGCAAGAAAGGCGATGAAATTTCTTTTTCTACTCATTGGGATAAAATTGTGATAGTTAGTCAAACTGCCTGCCTTCCAATTTACCTTGTGTTAGACTGATCTTTGTAGACTTCCATGCGATCACCTAGTAAGCTGGATATCTAGAAAGGATAATTTACCTTCTGACTGATGAATATTGACAATCTAATAAACTGATTTTCTTCTGCTTAAAGTTTTACGCTTAATATTTCCATAGCTAATGTGATTGTTACATTTTGCATGAAAGAATGAACACTAACACCTCAAACAATTAAAGATAACATTTAATGATGTATGACAACTAAACTATGGAGTGAGTAAGACAGAATACAATGATGTTACAAGGTTACTTGAATATCAATGAGATGCTCACTGGTGACTTGCCCTATTCAGGTAGGTAGTTACCTGGGTTCCAGGGGAAGTCGTGAGGGTGCAGCAGGTCGGGTGTGAGGACAAATACTCGCCGAAGACATTGGCTAGGGGGTCGCGATATGTCGTGAATTGGCAGAAGTTTGAATTCATGGGCCATTGGATCGGGTCCCAGTGGCTTAATGGTATACGAGCTCGCCTTGTAGCCGGAAAGTCCTGGGTTGGAATCCCGGTGGATGCGTACTGATGAAGAGTCCCAAACTAGGACGAAACAGCTGTCCAGTACTCCCAGGTTTTCCAGTGGTTCTGTAACTGATATTAGCTCATGATGAAATCCTGTAACTAATTCAATATGATTAGGACTAACGTAGGACAAGTAATGCACCATTGATTTACATGACAGCCAAGGATTATCTGTAGTAATTTCAGTCGTGTCTAGTAGCTAGTAAAACACCGGGTTATTATTTTTCAGAGGTTACTGCAGCTACAAATCCTGTCGCTTCATCTCCAATTATCAAATGCATCAACAGAAAATAGCCGCTTCACTCGTTTCCAGTCAAGTTAATCAATGATGTCCCTAAATCGATTCAACTCTGAGAAATTACCAATATTTTTAATCTGCTATCTTAGTAATTGTTAATTTACGAGGGGAAAAAACAAATGAAAATTACAACCATCATCTACAAGACTTACTCGTACTTCTTCTGTACACCAAAAAGCTTTCCATACTGTTTCAATTGCAGTAAAGTCCAGGTTTACAACAGCATCTAACATGTAACCAGCAGATAAGGCATATAGACGACAGAATGTTACAACATCTTCATTAAATGAACTTGTAGATGATGATGACGATGAGGAGGATAATGATGATTCATTTTTTAAACGACTACCACCACCTTTACCTGAAGGACTATCTGAGGTTGTATTAGTTAAATCAACTGAAAAACAAGTGGAAACAAGAGAGAGAGAGAAATACTTATCATTTAAGCATATCGACATGTGTATAAGAGAAATAAACATTCGTTTAAAAAAACACGATTTCATTTTGAATATGAACACCTTAAAAAGTTGTGTGTGTTACGTATGCCTAGTCATCGCCTTCCTCGACCGAAGGGCTATGTCAGCTGACATAGGGTCAGGCTGGAAAAGAGCTAGTGGCGGTCAAACCAAAACATGGATTCATCAGTCAATGAAATCTACAACAGTTAGTTTAAGCCACATAAGAAGGCGTAGACTTCCTGGTTGGGTCCTCGGAACGGTAAAAACCAATGTCTGGAGACAATCAGTGATATGGCTCAAAATCGTTCTCAATGGCTGGCACGGAGGCATCCACTCCTTGTGATTTATGATTTCCAATGAAACTGTTTTGTTCTTCGTTATTACTATTCCTTTGTCTCACACCTCTGTTTACTGTCTCTGTTATGCATTTCTTCTTTCTTCTCTTGCTTTGTGTGTTACAAGGAGTGGAGTGTGGCGACTTGAACTGCCGCACATCGGTGCAAAGTTCTATGTCGAAAACAGATAGACAGACTTCAGAATGGTAGAATGTTCACCAATAGACCTGGAGGTCAAGGTTCAACTCCCAGCCAGTAGTGAAGCCCATTCTGAGCGCAAGCGCTGGGGAAAATACTTAACACATATAATCGTCAGATGGTAATTCAAGCCGTAAAAAAACATAAATTCCAATATAGCAAGATCCAAAGACAGATCATGTGTACGTATAACCAGAAACAAAAACGATCGTAAAACCTTAGAGGCAGATAGAGGCTTGATAATTCCACTATGGAATGGTTTCACAAGATAAGTAATGTTGATGTTAGGCGTAGAGTGTTGGCAAAGAGGGAAAATCAATCGACGAGGCTATAAAGTTACATAGACTAAGATGGCTAGGTCACGTGCTGCGCATGCCTAACCACCGCCTCCCCCGACGGGCTTTGCTAGCTGATATAGGTTCAGGTTGGAAAAGAGCCAGTGGTGGCCAAACAAAAACATGGCCTCATCAATCCATGAAATCCTTGACAGTTAAACTGAGTCAGGTAGGGAGATGCAGACTCCCGGGTTGGGGCCCTCGGGACTCTAGGAATCAATGGCTGGAGACAATAGGTGACATGGCTCAAAATCGTTGTCAATGGCGCAGATGTATTCAGTCTCTGTAATCTTTCATATTCCTTTCTACCATTACCCATTCTGTTTCACTCTTATACTTGTCAAACTCTATTAATTCTCTTCACTCATCTTCTTGTCTACCTCTGTGGGCTATTTGGAACGTGGCAACTCGAACTGCTGCACTTCGGTGCCAAGTTCTATGTTGAATCCAGACAGAATTCCACTATGCACAAAAGATACTGTAGTACAACGCAAGACATTCAGCAAACAAATATTGTGCGATGTCATCAAGTCATTTCTTTACAACCGCGTTACCATTAGACTAGTTGACGATAATAAAAATAAGCTAGACAACTAATAATTATAATTAATATTACAAAAAATTCAATAGACTTAAACATATGCCAAACCTGAAATGCTTAACTTATTGAAATACTATTGGTTATCGAACATCACTTTTTACTTTGCTTTATTAAAACTATTTAATTCCCAAACATTTTATTCACTTTGACTGAAGACTAGGTGATAAAGTAACTAGTGTCATGCGTCCAGAGTCTTTTGTTTGGTGCAGATTGAATTCTATCTCACAGTCAAGCTTGCAATGTGGCCACCCTGCCCCACTAGGTGACTCGCCATCACAGTACACTATGAATTGTTGTTATTAGATGGTACGAGGAAATCGACAGGAAGCCTTGCTTGATCTAGGTTCGATGCATGTTGACACTCGTCAGTAAGGCGTATCAGCAAACTTGACTGATGGAAGTCAGTCTGCATCAAACAAAAAGGACTACCTGGCGTTCAATCAAAGTATTTAATACAACCCTATAAGAGGTCAATCGCGAGCTTGAATACCTCAGTGGTAACATCTCTCTGACTGCAGCAGCTCTGGGTGACAAGGACTCGAATCTCGGAGGGGAAACGAGTTCCTTCAAGGTTGCAGATACGCCTTGCTAACAAGTGCCAAGTAGCACAAAACTTAGATGCAAAACATCCTGCTGATCACCTCGAACCATCTAGTAACAACTATTTTATTTTATTATCGTCAACTATGCTACCATGTGTATAACGTGATTGTGATGAAACTACAAAATGATGATATTATCTCGCAATAATATTTGTCTTTTGAATGCCTTATTTAAATTTATCAGAGAGATTAACTGTTTCAAGATACTAGGAAAACCAATTGTGGCCTGGAACTGTCCTTTAAACAACCAAATTTTACAGTGCTATTACAGAAATTATATTGAAGTAAATAAAATAAATATTAAAGAAACCAATGAAATTTCAACAAATTCGATGTATAATAAGTACGTCTGTTACTAGAACTAAGTTTGAGTTATAAGCAATCCATCCTGTCTATGGCTTTCTCCATCTTTGTGGTAAGAGAATATAACGAAGATGACTCCTAAATATTTCTGCGGTTACTTCTCATCGTACGGACACAACTCAATAAATCCTATTAATGTTAAGTCAATTGTAAAGGATTACCGGTCAAACAGACATCTCTGAGCCTATGCAGTTTCACAAGGAACCAACTTTTTCCACGCATAACAAGAAAACACCAACGTTGAGGAATGAAGAAATTGCCTCGGTGATTCAATAGTCAATTACTCTCCGGCGCTCGATTCCCGAAGAAAAGTTTTTATTTATTTATTTAAACGCGGAAAAAACTTGGTACAATATGACACCAAGAAAGATGCACCACACAATAATAATAAAACAACATAGATCAAAAGTAATAAAAAGAAATGAGTAGAGAACGGATTAAGGATTTCATCTGGAAGGAAAACAGACATACTTCACAAGTTCAAACAGTATTCATCAACTATCTTCAGGAAGGGAAGAGAGAGGGAAATTGCAACACGTTCGCCACTGAATACGATTCCCGGCCATATCCGATAACGTGTCGAGCCATCGATTCGAGCTATATCTCGGATTCCAACCAGGGAGGCGTGACAAACCAATCGATGCTAATCTAGCACAAACATCCTTCATCCCACGATGCCACGTCATGGACTGATCACCCCTCCGCCTTTTCCATCCCGTCCCAGGGCTGGCTAGCGAGTAGAGACTTGTACGGAAGCCTCCAGGATGACATTCGATGAATGAATGAATGATAACAGCTTTATTCCAAAACAGTACTTGCGGTACAGAATGGAATTCTCATCATTCTAATACAGTATTGCATCCAGTTAGTAAATTAACGATTAAATAAAATTCCACATAGATTAAGGCTAATCTCAGTTAGCTTTGACAACATATTAGCCAAAATTGAACTGAGTGTTTGAAGGTTTTTAGAAAAGTAGATGGTAGCATATTTACTGGCGTAAGCAGAAGAAAGAAACAAAGCTGCACATAACACAAAAAGAAAAGAGAAGAGAAAAGGAAAAGAAAGAGAGGAAAAACGTTGTACCTGTAAATGATATGAGTTGGAAAGATGAGATCCAGTTGTTCTACTGACTACTTAATAAGTTATAGGTTTCACGCCTAATGCTTTCTTTATCGCACAGAACACGAGCTAAGTTGGGGCATGGTTGAGTTTTTGTACTTACTAGTGCGAGCGTATAGTTTTCAATATTAGCAGCACATGTCCAAGCCACTGGAGCCGGTGTTTCCAGATGACGACACTCAATGAATGGTGATCTCCATCGTGTTCAAACACACGCCACCGAACTTCGGAATTACTCACGCGATGATGCTATCGAACGCAAGTAATCCTGCGGAGACAGTGATGATCGAACACGCTGATTCCCGAAGAATGTACTCTCGTCTGGTCTACTAAGCCGTTGTAAGCCAGGGAAAGAGTAAGGCTTGAGTGCGAGGCTGGTAACCCTACTACTCTGTATGACAAACAATACAACTGCTAATGAAACTTCCAAGCTTGAAGCCGTGTTTTCCTCTCAGAACACAAAGAAGAAAAATGAATGAAGTATTGGCTGTTTACAGGCTTCAAACAAGGCTTAGATCTCAATAGCAATAAAGTAACCTATAAAATATATGAATTCTGCAACACACACATAAACACACAACGTTAAATTATACTAAAGTCATGATACATAGTAAGATTCTTACCTTCACTAGGCACCGGGAGACCAGATGATCGACAAATTTCATCTAAATTCGGCAAGGCAGAACTAGCTTCACCAAGGAATTGTGCATGATGTTGACCGGCAGAAGGTAATAAAGGACTAGATAGTGAATTGGTTGCTATACTTTCAATTTTTTGATTACCAGAAATTGAGATAGCATTTCCACCAATACTACTATTATTATTATTACCGGTAGTATAAGAATTATTTGTCAAGCATTTATCCGGACGTAGCAGACCCGGGGTATGATGTGATGATGATAGCTGAGAATAATTATTAGTAGTAAGTGATGTAGAATGAAGATTTGCACTATTGTTATTTGAATTGTTTAATCCAATAATAGTACTGCCTAGACCAGAACCACCAGTACTACTACTATTATTACTACTGTTAATTCCATTCCCAGTAGTATTTAATGATTTTAAACGATTCAACGTTGAATTACCACCACCAGTACTATTACTAGTATTACTATTATTAGTAGTATTATTAAAATATTTCCATTCAGCTGCAGCTTCCATTGTTTGACGATGATAATTTGGATAATGTCGAAGTGAGAAACCAGCATCCTCGACAAAATGATTTAATGGTGAATTTGGTTTAATACGTATTCCATAATAATGATATTTAGAATTTCCACGTGTACCAAGACGTCGTGTACGCAGACCATAGAAAACTGAACGTATCAATTTACCAAATGATGCTGGATTCATTGGTTCTAACTTGTGTTCATTACAATGATGAAGATAATGAAAGTAGAGTGTACTACGTGGTAGACTAACACCTTCAGCTGTTTCATAATTATCAACAAGCCATTGAACCTAAGAAAAAAAAATTCGAATGAAATAGTAATCAGTAATAATCTAGATAAAATAATGATAATTATTTCAGACAATATGTGAACACATAGTGCAGAAATTTTCAGCGTTTCAAAATCTTTCCACTTCATACAGAATTTACATGTAAAGTAATAACCTGAAATATATTATGCAGTGTAATATTTTTGCGTATGAAGAGAGAACCACTTCTGTAAGTTTTTCCCCTTCTTTTCCCGAATGAATTGCACAGCGTTTCGTTGAAAGGTGAGAGCTTCCAACACAAATGTGAAGCCAATCAGTTAGTTCTTAGATACGGGTCAGAAACTTGCACACTGAGTGTCACGCGAAGGATTTCCAACAGGTTACGAACTTTTATCAACAGCTGTCTTCCCCACCTCCATACTGAAGATCAAATGACCAAAAAGAATTAGCAAAAAGAAACTCTGACTGGAAACAAACCAAATGAGCAAGAGCCGATCGCTCAACAAATATGTAGGAGAAAATGGAGATGGATTAGGGTATACGTTGGGGAGGCCGTCGAATGACATCGCATACAATACAGGCCAGCGCTCGAGTGGTATCCAAATGCGAAGCGACCAGTGGGTCTTCATTGCTAGGGTTACATGGAGGAAATCGTGTGTGTTGGGGAGGAGGAGATGAAAGATTATGGGAAATCGTGGGCGCAGCTGAAGAGGACAGCAGAGAACAGAACAAAGTGTAGATGTTTTTTGTTAAAGCCCTATATTCCACTCGGAACCCAAGGGAATAACAATAATAAATATGTGCGTGATCATTTGATATAATGGTATGATTAAAACAATAAGAAATGCTGAAGATTTTAAGCATGTTAGTGGATGGAAACTGTGGTAGTCCAGTGATTTAAGCAGGCCGCCGTTATATGAACACACTACAGTGATGTGTTTTTATTTGTCTAACCTAAATGATGTAGATATGTATATTCATAAGCTGTAGCTTTAGCTTTTTAGTGTAACATGTGAAAATAAGGGAAAAAAAGCAGTACTATTTACTGGATGACGTATCGAACACAATTTATCGTTCATAATCTTATCAGTTGTAACTACACAACTTCGAAACTTTCCTTTCATGGTTCTTTATTCCTTCCTATTAGCCATAGGGGCAGTATGGTTTCCCAGATGTCTAAGTAGACAGATATTGAAACGCTTCTATCACACGTATTCTTAGTTGACTCGACAAATAAGGCCTCCACTGTCAATCTCTCCTTTAAACCTTTTATATTAGATATTAGAACAGTCATTTTATTCCATCATATTGTGTGTGGTTGCATGTAATGCTATAGCTAATCTGTTTTTTATATTTACCATGTAATTAGGGTCAAATAATCTAGATTTTTCTTCGTTTTTGTACCGTACTAGTCGGACTGAATGTCTATCTTAAAAACTTTGACCTACGTATTGTACCTGACAATCATCATCGCAAGGTAAAAGACTAACAAAAAATGATTTGGTTGAATGGGCTTCACAGGAAAGTGGAAGCTCTATTTCATCGAATCAACTGAGAATATGTGCAGGGGGAATGATTCAATGCTTGTCCTACAAAATTCTACTAATCCTACGACAAATGGAAATGAATAAACAGAACTGTAAAACTAATTTTTCGAAGTTTTGTAATTACAATTGGTGGTAAAGATTATGAACAATTAATTATGTTCAAAACTGTGTCCGATAAATAATACTGTTTCACTTTGTGATATGTCTAATAGGACCGATCAAGAGCTGAAATCAGTAAGAAAACCACTGGGGAATCTGTGAGTACTGGACACCTGTTTCGTCAGATTTGGGACTCTTCAACAGTACACACCTTCCGGCTATGAAGCCAACTCGTAGACCATTCAGCCGCTGGGACCCGACCTAATGCTTCATGAGCTCCAAGTTCTGGTGAATCGTGATATAAAGCGGAACCACTAGCCAGTTTCACAAGCGAATAGTTGTCCTCTTGTCTGACTTGGTGCACCCCGCTGGTCACGACTTCTCACTAGAACCCCAAGACAACTCCCTGTATAAGGCCAGTCTTTAGTGGACACCAGATTAATTAACAAAAGTGTTCATTTTCAGGGATACGATTAACTACAGGAATTCAGTTAGAGAACCACTGGAAAACCTGGTGGGTACGTATTGATGAAGAGACCCAAACTGAGCTGACGAAACAGATATCCAGTACTCTCTGGTCTTCCAGTGGTTCTCCAATCGGTGTCAGCTCATGATAAACCCTGTAATCAATTAAATCCCCATAAAAAAACACTTGATAATATGTCCAATAAACAAATTAATATAGAATTACATACTACCACAGTGCCCAGGTTTTACACATACATAATAACAAGGAGAACAAACTTACAGTAACGGGACTAGCTTTTGCTGTATGTGAAATAGCTGATGGATCATCGTCTAGTTGAGCGCCTTGGACTAGATATGTAGCACCGTGATGCGTAACTAATTGAGCATGTCCAGCGCCTAAATTTGTATGTGCAGCAGCTGCATGAAGACTACTACCAGCTTGTCCAGCTGTCACAGTAGAACCAAAAGCGGTAGCTAAAACCTGGATGATAATAATAATAATAATAGAAAAACATAATCACTTAGTTAGTTGTTAATTCTAAAAGCAACCTGAACTAAGCAATATATTTTACACTAAACAATATATTTCACACTAAACTAGTTCTATTTGTTTGAACTTAGTTTCCAGGACAGGTCTTTCATGTTTGAGGTGATGAGACACACTTACTGTGTGTGAGGGCTCGTTTTATTACTCACTTAGCCTCCCAGAACTCGAGCCCAGGATCCACTGACTGAAGGTTGTGTGCACAAGCCAGCTGGGGCTACATATCTACAAACTAGTACACTAATGAACATATATTACATCCGTTACCATTAGGCTCTCTTCAGTCATAAATTATGTAATGAAACTTCGGAAATTTAATTTAAAACAGCTTTCGTCAGAAACCTATGTTAGATGAAAAATGCCGGGAATCAGTGGACAGATCTTTCCCCCTAGTAAGCAAATCTTTAGGGCAGTGTTCACCTTCGGCCGTATAAGCAACTTAAGTCAAGAATCTCAAGGTTTTAAAACAAATTCTACAATTTACACAACAGACTGGAGTGTAATTCCCCGTACTTTTTAACTTCTCGCGCCATCAGCATTCAAAGCTACCTGCGGCTTAATGTACCAATACACAACTTGACGGATTTAACCTATTCTATGTCTACTTATTAAATAATTTAGTTTCATTCGAAGAGACGATTAGAAGGAGAATGCAAATAAGTTTACTGATGACTGTAAATTAATATATGCGACTATGTAGCTTTAATGTGTGCACGTCTGTGATTTATTGATAAAGTGCTCACAAGCCACAACACACTCCTCAGAGGGAGTAAAGTCTGCAAAAGAGAGAAGGTTGGCTTTGAGACTGCCAACTCCACTCTGTAAGACAGACAACAAACAACACCCCCCTCCTCTCAGGAGCTACTGAAACTTCAAAGTTTGAAGCCTTATACCCCCACTTGGAACGCAAGGTGGCACATATAAACGACTTTTCGATAAAATAAAATAATAAATTTTAATAGACGAACTTGTCCATTAGCTGTTTGATAATAAGTTTGTCCACTTGAAACAGGAGCATAAATAATCGGTGTATATTCTTGGTACTGTCTGGAAATAAATCAAAACAAAAAGGGGAACATTCAATAAAACGACATTGTATTTTGTTATTGTTACTGCACCAACACTATTAATGAAAGGCCAAACGGAAAACTGCATTACACATGTAAAGAATAACAGTCTCATGTACATAACATTACACACTGTGGTTTACTCTAGACAATCCGAGATATATTCAAGCTATAAAAAGTAAAAAATACAAAGCAACCAAGCATACCCCCCAATCCAACCAATAAACAATCATTGTTATTATAAACCATCTGATTGACTGACTGACTAACTAACTTTCAACACATAGAACATTGGCATATATAAATGCATCAGTTCAATTTGCTGACACATTCATTCCATATGACACACAGAAGAAGACAAAAAATGAAGAGGAAAAAGGCATTCAACAGTATGATGGACAGAGAGAGAGAGAGAAGATTAACACGGAGAAACATTAGGAAATCACAAAGAGTGAATGTATTTGTACCAGTATAAGAAGTATTTTAAGCCATATCTCCAATAGTCTCTCCAGTCATTATTAATTCTTAGCATTTCTAGGACCCCAGTTAGCTAGCTAGCTAACTAACTAGCTAAGCGGTCTACACCCCCTCAGGTGACTTACACTAACTGTCAAAGATGTCATGAACTAATTCCAAGTTTTCGTTTAACCGCCTCTAACTCTTTTTTCAATGCAATACTATGTCAGCTAACATTACCCATTGAAGAAGGCGATGGACTTGAGATTGGTAACACATGAGTCCTAGTAGTTCTCTCAACCAATTCACCTTTACAACCTTTTCGGTTGACTTAACCCCTTACGTTCCCAGTGGAATATAGGGCTTCAAGTTAAAGGCTTAAAATTTCTGTAGTAGTGGTGATTATTATTTACAGGATGGGGTCGCTAGCCTCATGCCCAACCTTCCCTCTTTACCAATCTTACTACTTACTGGCTTAGTGAGATAAAGGAGTGCGTCCAGTGGCCGGGGATCGTACCCCGGATCCCCTGCGTGGTCGGCGAGCACTCTACCGCTGGTGCCACCAACGCACCCTTCCTTACCATGTATACACATCATATCATCTAAACAACTAAATGGTCATTTCAAACTATTCTCATGACAGTCAAGATCTCATCAGGTTATGTATGATTATTTAGGTTGGGACGCTCGCCGACAATGCACATGGTCCGGAGTTCGATCCCCAGCCACTGGACGCACTCCTTTACCTCGCTAAGCCAGAAATAATCCTGGTAAAGAGGAAAGGTTGGGCATGAGGCTAGCAACCCCATCCTGTAAAATAAAAACTGCTACAGAAACTTCAGGCCACTAGCTTGAAGTCCTATGTTCTACTGGGGTACGTGAAGGGAAAAAAGTTTAGGATGTTAAATAATGAGAACCACTCAAGTCTTGATTAGATAGATACTTAAGTACAAGGACAGGTAGAACACACATTTATGGATACATATATAAGCGAATAACTTCACAAGCAAAAAAAGCAGGAATAATCAGTACATCGAAAAAATTAAATCAAAGGATAATTATTTTTTTATATCATGTAACATAAAGAGAACACATGTGTTATGATTAATTTATGAACAAAGAAGTTTCTAATCATGCTAAGATATGTTAAATAACAATATTCTTTTTTAATCAAAGCAGGTTAGCACACTGTAAATGTGGCGGGTGGGGGAGAGGGGGTCATAGAGAACATCAATGTTCTCTTTTCTTTCGATATAAAAAAAGGAAAGAAGAAAAGGATATCATCATATCAAGCAAAACTACGCACACATACACACAAACACACCAATTCAATACCAAACTAAGGTTAAGAAATTACAAAAAAATATAGATTTTTTAAAAATTGGGAGATGAAAAGCAGCATGCAGGTCAAAAGTTAATTTAATCTCTCAAATGGGTAACTGGTACATCAAACATTTCGATAATAATAATACAAGAAAGGCATTCCATATATATATCCATTTGAAAGGATTAAGGAGGTACACACAAATGCGGTTGGTTGGTTAGTTAGTTAGTTAGTTAGCTAGGTTAATAAAGCAGAACACGTCACACACACACACACACCGGCCACTTCCACACCACGAAAGAAGAAGGAGAAGAGATATCAATCAAGCAGTAAATTACCCAGACACAGATTTCGTGACTGATGCAAATAGTTTTCTTAAAGGCGTACCAGACTTAATCTCGAGAATCCCACTGTAAAAATTTAAAATTATATACATTCAAGAATATAATTGCGAGAGAGAAAAATGACACCAAGTATCAACTATGCAATATGTTACAAACAAAAAATAATACAACAAACAAGCACACTGGATATTATCCAGTTAGTTTATTAAGATTTGGAATGAAGAAGCAAGGCAATCCGCCGCCGCTACTACTACTAATACTACCTACTACCAGCTAGGGAAGTTAGTACTATATTTTTAGGGGTAAGAAGTGAAATTAAACACAAACCAACACAATACCAATGAAAATGAGCTGGTGTATAAACCAAGTTTTTACATTTCTAAGTGTTGCTTATGTATAACTTGGTCAATAAAATGCAGTGCATTTCTTACCTCCTTTTGGGGTTGCAAATCTGAAATTTAGCAAGGTGGCACACTATCGACATAGTACTATGGAATAAATGAAATGTTAGTGAATAACACAACAGGTGCGTGTGTGTGTGTGTATGAACCACAGCTATCAGCACGACCTATAAGCTGTTGTTCAAGTTTTCAGTAATTTCTGAGACCGTTGCTCTAGAAAGTTGATTTTTTCGTACTCGAGAACATATCCCCACTATGGCTAAGTAAAGGTGTAGTGAAAACCATTAACAGTTCGACATTGCACCATCTGGTGCAAACCGGCCACAAAGCCAGCTAGCGTGGAAGAATCCTTCTCTATAATCTACCGGGTGCCTAATAAACTGCCAAAAACATCGGAGCACCACATGCTCCAAACAGCAGAGGCTATTGAAATTCGCCTTTTTGTTCAAAAGAAGCAAGTCCAGCCCCTGCTGCTGCCCTGGCCATCAGTAGAGACTATAAACTCATTAATTTGTAATATTATCTTTCCTAATTTTTCTGACATTCAGCTTATTTTATGTTGATACTATTGAACTGTAATCAATTAATATTATTGATTAGATGTTATTTAAACAGCATTAATGTTGTTCATAACACTAACTCATTCACTATTATGTATATATGTTAAGGACCTGACGCAAGAAAGACGGAAATCAGAAGACCACTAAGTTTGCGATGATACTTCCATTTTCCGAACACAAGGAGAGTCAATGTCACACAAGTGTGTGAGGGCAAAATATGAATGTCCGAACAAGTGTGTGAGCGAATATTCAAAATGAACAAATCAATAGACAGTCTTAACATGATTGGCTAATTATAATGGAATATCGATCCATATATACCTAGCAAAATATATCAGACTCAAACAAACACATATGGATACATATCAATATATAACTGTAGAACCTGATGATGAACTTATCGGAAAGAGTATTCTTTGTTCAGTATTCATTCTTTTGTGTATTTGAGTTTGTCAACTATCACCTCAAATACTTTTGTCTACACTATTGACCCACATCTTTAATAAGCTACAAGCTAAAATTAATTTCAGATGACTTAAAATACTACCCAGCTATCTATTAATTCAAACCAGAGTAAGAGGTGAACGAAAGTGTGCACAAAAATTGGTTGTTAGTTGAATGTGAGTAATACAATGGAAAACACGTCCGTTGGTGCAGTTGGCAATGTATATTATTTTATTTATTATTCATTGTTCCCTTGAGTTCCATGTGGATTGTAGGGCTTCAGCAGCACATCTCCACTCTGTCCTATTCCCTAAGTCCCTCTTTAATGATATTAGATGATTGCAGGCAATCGACAGGAAGCCTTGCTTGACCTAGGTTTTTGTGCTAGTTGGCACTTGTCGTCAATAGGGCGTATCTGCAAACTTGACTGACAGAAATCAGTCTTCACTAAACAAAGGGCTAGCTAGACACATTACACTAGTTACTAGTGTCCAAAGTCTCTCATCTCCTCCTGACACGATCTCCTACATATCGCCCTCACAGTCACGCCAAACTCGTCCTTTCCCGTTCAGGTTCCACACGAGAAGATAGTGCACGACGTCATTCGACGGTCTCTTCAGTGTGCTACCGGTCTATATCCTTTTTCTTCGTCATATTTCATTGATTTGTCCTCAGTTTCCTGTTGCTAATTTCTCCTGATCATGTGATGTTTAGCATAGAGCCAGAGAAGACAGCTGTTGATAAAAGTTTTCAGTGGCTTGTTGGAAATCCTCTTAGTGATGACAGCGCCAAGTTTCTGACCCATATAGAAGAACTGACTGACTTAACATTTGTGTTGAAAATCCAAAGGATGTTCTTTTCGCTGAGTGCAGAAGATTTCTAAACCGCTCTCAGATTGATGAATGTTTGCCTTACCTTTCCAACTCTGACTGGTTTTGACATCCTTATCCTTTCCTTCCGCTCGTAGTCGGAACTATACTGTCTAGATAAGTGAAGGAACCGACCTCTCTCCAAATTTATTCCGTCTTCTCTATGCTCACCTGAAGTCCTGTCCTTGCTGCTAGCATCTTCTGACAGTTTGTTTGGTTTCCACCTGTATGTCCTCCAGTTACATATGTGTGATATTAGACATAAGTCATCCGCATAGTTGACAATGAGTCACATCTATTTATAGTATGAGGGTTGATAATGCCAACGTACTATAAAAACTTAAATAACTAAAGCAGGACTCAGACTTATAACCCACCGGTTGAAAATTGAATACCTAATCACTTCAACCATAAACCCACTATTTTAGTCAGATACCTACACACAAATAACCTACTAATATATGGAAATTAATAAACATCGCTGTTTCTACAAAAATACACAGCTGAACTTCATCTACACGTCATCGCATTATGAGAAGAAAAAGAGTTGTATCAATGGATAATAGGAAAAATAAATCAGAAAAAAGTCAACTTTAAGGTTGAGTACAAAACCAATAATCCAAGTGAACTACTGACGATATATATGTATTTGAATGGTTAAAAGATAGTATTTCCATGACGCCTTAAAATACATAACTTGCATTCTGCATACATTTCACAACAATATATGAAACCTACATAAGTACATACATATATACAAATCTTTCTATCTTTAGATTATCCTTAATGTGTAATACATCAAACCAAATGACTGTAACATGTTTTACACACGCATACATACACACTCATCCACTCACAACCAACCAAAATATGCGACTACTTTAGATTAGGCTGAATAAAACAAAAGACAGAACATGACTTAGACGAAGATATGGCGCTAAGTTATGATATTTCATGAATCTCATTTAAGGTCATATATGCGCACGCCTTACAAGTCTTTAGCTAGATGATGGGTGACACTATTGCCCCGTCAATGTTGGTTTATGAAAAAAAAAACACTCAGATTGAAATCAATCGAATCATTGTACAGTACATAACGTGTAGGAAACCGTTTCATCATCATATACAGTGAAGATGTAACTCACGTAGTCGTGTAAGGGCTTATGGGGAATTGTCATCTGAATTAGTAACAACCAGTGGTGTCCGACAGGGATGTCCACTTTCCCCATTTCTGTTTAACTTCATCATAGATATGCTAATGGAAGTATCCTTAACTGAACGTAGTGACTTAGGAATCGACTTGTTACCAGGGAATAATCTAATGGACTTAGAATATGCAGATGACATAGTCCTGTTAGGGGAGGATGCTGACAAAATGCAGAGTCTTCTGAACACCTTGAGCAGCAATCTTCGTATGTTTGGCATGCGATTCGCCCCTGCAAAATGTAAGATGCTGCTACAGGACTGGACGACGTCAACCCCTAACTTAGTGATAGGGAGTGAAGTGATAGAACATGTTGACCACTTCACCTACTTGGGAAGTTGTATTAGCACCAACGGACTGATTGGCGATGAAATCTCAGCACGGATCCGAAAAGCTCGAGCTGCTTTCGCTGACTTACACCATCTCTGGCGTAGGCGTGACATCCGGTTATCAACCAAGGGACGTGTGTACTGCTCATCAGTTCGCTCCGTCCTTCTCTATGGCTCTGAAACATGGCCAATACGCGTTGAAGACATGAAAAGGTTGACTGCTTTCGATCATAGATGTCTGCGATCTCTGTCTCACGTTAGGTGGTTTCACAAGATAAGTAATGTTGACGTTAGGCGTAGAGTGTTGGGCAAAGAGGGAAAATCAATCGACGAGGTTATAAAGTTACATAGACTAAGATGGCTAGGTCACGTGGTGCGCATGCCTAACCACCGCCTCCCCCGACGGGCATTGTTAGCTGATATAGGTTCAGGTTGGAAAAGAGCCAGTGGTGGCCAAACAAAAACATGGCATCAATCCATGAAATCCTTGACAGTTAAACTGAGTCAGGTAGGGAGATGCAGACTCCCGGGTTGGGGCCCTCGGGACTCTAGGAATCAATGGCTGGAGACAATAGGTGACATGGCTCAAAATCGTTGTCAATGGCGCAGATGTATTCAATCTCTGTAATCTTTCATATTCCTTTCTACCATTACCCATTCTGTTTCACTCCTATATTTGTCAAACTCTATTAATTCTCTCCACTCATCTTCTTGTCTACCTCTGTGTGCTATTTGGAACGTGGCAACTCGAACTGCTGCACTTCGGTGCCAAGTTCTATGTTGAATCCAGACAGACAGACAGAAGATGACTGTTAAAATGATGATTTGGTTAACAGTTGGATGTTGTAGGTCAACTGGTAGAACACATAGACTCACACACGGCAAGTAACCCGGAACCGAATTGGTTTGAATATTACTGTGACCCAGGTTTTCATTTCACTTTCAATCATTATCCATTACGACGTTTAACGGTGATTTTTATTTATTATTCAGAATCAATAGAAAGAAAAACAACTGAAGCATGACAATCAAGGATTACAATTTTTAGCCGCATTTGATAATGTATCTACTTGTTTTTTTTTGTTTAGTTGCATTATTTTTCACGTTCCAGTCAGAGATATTTTATGAAGGTTAAACAAATATTAATGTGTAAGACAATCGCTTCTACAAATCCACGTTATAGACTGATCGCTTCTCTACTTTTCCGATCAGTTACAAGTGGGAAACAGCAAAAGTCAAACAGAGGACATTCGTAACACGCTTTAACCGATAAAGCGGTTGTTCCGATATGACTTCAATAGAAAATATTTACATAGCTTGTCCTAATCTTAGCGTTACATAGATCATCACTGGATGGAGGCAACAGTTAGGTAGTTAGTTACTTAGAACTCAGCTATCCGGAAAAGGTTTTCCCTATATAGAGAACTATATGCTCCCTATATAGAAAACTATAGGTTCGCACTAGAAAGTACAAAAACTCAACCATACCCTACTTAGCTCGTGTTCTGTGCGATAAAGAAAGCATTAGGCGTGATACCTATGACTTATTAAATAGTCAGTAGAACAACTGAATCTCGCCTTTTCAACTCATATCATTTATAGGTACAACGTTTTCTTTCTCTCTCTTTTTTTCTGTTATGTGCTGCTTTGTTTGTTTCTTCTGCTTACGCCAGTAAATATGCTACCATCTACTTTTCTAACACCTTCAAACACTTTGTTCACTTTTGGCTTTGCTACTGACATGCCAATATGTTATTGTAAAAATGAACTGAGATTACCTTAATCTATGTAGAATTTTATTTATTGATAATGTACTAACTGGATGCAATACTGTATTAGAATGATGAGAATTCCATTCTGTATCACAAGTACTGTTTTGGAATAAAGCAAATTATTATTAAATTTACCAAGCTACAATCCACACCTGTGAGTGTATGTCTTTGATGACTGGTGACACTACCAAGTGGCCTAGGCTGCAGTAGGTGAAGCCAGATTCGAACCATGGATCACCCATTGACCAAAGGTATAGTGCTTAAGCCAGTGCAGACAGACAATACTACAGAAACAACTGTTATTCAATAAAAAAAAGTCAGCAAATATATTTTAACTGTACAGAGTTCTAGATATTCACAGTTCTGCGGATGTTATAGTAAAACCAAGTGTGGTGACTCCAAACTGTATCACAAATTATTGATTTGTTATTACTTGTTTTTACTTTCTATCAACATTTTCAATGCACATAGAACACTCATTTTTGAATTAAAATCATTAACATAATACGAAAGAATTAAAATTTATCAACAAAAATCCCAGGAAACAAATTATTAAGAACAACATGACATACCCGCCTTCTCCATTTCCCGCGTAAACCATTTGTTCAGCTATAGCTTCAATATAATGAGCAGGATATATAGTTTGGGAGTTATTTGAGTGGACTGCCTGTAATAGGCTAGTTTCAACTCCACTTGTTGGAGGACGATTGTTAGAAGACTCTGAGGTTGAGAAGAAAAAAAGTGACGATAATCAACACAAATAAAATAACTTACCAAGTTTTCCAAGTAAAACATGCTGACTACCTTGTTGTAAGATGGTATGACTCTTTGGAGGAACGTGTACGATGGTGGCACCCGGTCCAGATGCAGATTGCATGACCACCAGAGGGTAAAATGCAAAGATCTGTACACCTGAAAAATAAACATTACATATAATTATAGGCATAAATAAACTGCATTCAAAACATTATCTGGTAAATAATGTCCCACCGTGTGATATATCTCACAAACACGTTAGCATGGAACTATATAACGACTGAGTTATCAACGTAGAAATTTGCATAGAGGTGCCTTTTAATTTTTCACGCTTTTGTCGCCTATCATTTAAAGTTGTTGCGAATACTTTGATAATATTTCAGTAGCGTTTGCTCCCCCATCGTGTTCGGAGCTTGTCAGGATAAGTCTAATTGAATCCATCAGTTTGCATTCACTGGTATTTACTCATTTTTGGCTGCAGGTCGCCATGTGAATTCATAAGTGTTTCTGTAGCAGATTGGATCTGCCAAGGTAAGCATTTCTATCATGCTTGGATAATTGCTTGATCGTCTCCCTGAAGTATATCTAAGCACTTACGTACTCGGTAGTTGTTTACTATTCCCACTAAGTCATATGGGTTCCAGAAAGCGCAGGGATCTCCAAAGATCTTGTTCATTTACAACTTAAAGCAAAGTAATCTACCTCTGCCTATCGTTGACTGCAGGTCAGCAGTCAGCGGGTGAGACAATGTCTCCTTATGCTTAAACTTACTACTGATAGAAAACACGGTTATTCGAACAAAATAGTAAAAGGTATATGCTCCCAAAGTGAGTTCCAGTTACCTTATCTATGTGTCCTGTTTTTAGCAACAAAGAGGACGGCATCTCATGAAACGCATTCTTTACTTGGTTCAAAATAGTCAGTGAATTTGTAAGCATAGTTTACAAAAAGATAGCGATAATCTTTCCTAATTCATCCTGACTCAATACACCGGACAGTGCCTAGTTAAGAGTATCCTGCTCGAGAGTGATACTATCTCGACACCAGCACCAAGTTTACAAAAACCAGTCAAAATCTCTGCATGGTGGATTCCGCGAAATCCCTGTGTTCCCCAGATTCGGGTTAAATGAGTAACTAAACTAGTGTCTTGTGTCCATAGCCTCAGAGATACAATATACACCAGTTCAAAGTACCAGTTTTGTCCACTGAAGTCTGTTGCTACATAGAAAAAGATCCGGACGCTGGGAGCTCTGATGTAAAGTTTTCAGCGTGGTTTTAAGTAAACAGGAATGTTTCTCAAACTTAATTCGCTATCAATTGTTAAAAGTTGAAGAAGCCGTTTGTGGAAGAGTATTAAAAATTGGTTTGAACTTCACTCCAACTACCACGGTTTGAGCAGCCAACCAGTATCACATAATAAGTGTGATCTATTGTCAACTGCATGAGGAAAACAAGTGGTTCTTGACCAAATTTAGTTCATTATTAATACTGCAAAGAAAATAAGAAATGGATGTGCGAAACTTAACACTCGGTGCGATTATTTTAGCATGCAAGCGATTGCTGCATTCTGGTTGCCTATACATTGAGAGTTGTTTTATTCTTCGAATATATGAAATAAAACTTTGTTCTGAGTAACCCCTCAGTGCTCGTGACCAATCACAAATGGCCTCGCATGAAATAACTCACCATCGTTGATCAAGTCGAGATGAACAAGCTCCTCCCTAAGTCAGTAATATAGGAAATTTGTAATACAAGTCCAGCTGTTACATAAGCTACTCACGGACATAGGCTACATCTACCGAATTCAGACTTGGAAGGGAAAGTAGGTCAACTGAAACCCCATGAATCTTCAGATTACATAACCCACAACTTAGATCAACTGATATTAGAGAGGTATGTTAGAAGGGCGCAAGCTTATTTAACTGTAGTCAGAGTGAGACATTGCATTAACCAATGAACTCCGCAACTTCTGATTCAAGTCATTAAGGAAGGTGTTGCTCGACTAGGATTGCTGAAATGGGGTAATCCTGATTGGCTGCGAACGGAATTAGACTCCGGATGACTCTTAAACATTTATTTAAGTATACTTTCTTAGGTTTGGTGTCATTACACTTTGATTTATTTCTTATTAATGTATTTCAGCAATTCTAAAATATTTGACGGCTTTCATCTATCTATTTAAATTCTCAAACACAGTGCCACCCACTCTAGAATACATCTTGTCATTGACTAGTTTCAACATGGAACTTTGCACAGATGTGCAACACCTCGAGTTGTCACACCCCATGTCAGGTATGGCTGCATCATGGATACCACAATAATCTTAGTTATTTAGCTGTAAACCCGTTGCCTAGGAAAAACTTATCTCCTAGGCTACAAGCCACACTTATTGTGTAACTGCTGATGACACTATCAAGTTGCGTTGAGTGGGAATGAATTTGAACCCGGGTCCCATTGGCTAGAAGTTGAGTTGTTAGAACAGTTGGTAAAGTTTTAGCCGAGGATTTCAGTGTTCAACTAAAAACACCAATAAGCAATTAATTATCGAAATTATGTCCAGGTGTATGGTATATGTCATATCAAGAGATACTGACGACCAAGAAGTGGTGTTATAACTACATATTTTAATCACTTTGGCTACCGATTAATAATTTTTGGGGTTGAAAAATATAATGACTTCAAGAAGATACTGGTTGCTGAAGTTTCATCCTACAAATGATGTGTCGCGTATAACCTATACATTCGAGGAAGCCAGATTTCAGGATTTCCTCAGCATATGTCTGACTTAAACTTCCTCACTAATCATCTAGACGAAATAAATGTTTTATTAAGTTTTATTCACCACACTACACACTAATATACAGCTACTAGCATGCTAAGCATGTTATGATTTAGCACCAAGGATGGTAAGCCAAGAATACCGCGTTACTCCTAAAAACAATCACATACTAATCAACATGTTTTACAAAACAGATTTCACAACAGACAATGAAATATTCCCTGAAGCTGAAATGAATTGTAGCAAAAAGAAAGGCACACAACGTAATTCAATTTAACAACCGGTCAGTTGGAAGACCTCCAAATAAAACATAACTTTCTCAGTTTAAAAGTAAGACTGGTCAGTTTTATCGCTTTACGTGCGCAAATATGTAGTCCTGCTACATATTGACGCGATATACCTACTAGACAATTTCAGAAATCAAAACGTGACTGCAGCGAAGAATTTCCCCCTAGAAAATATTTATCAACCAGGGTGTGAATATTCAACAAAATGATGAGGAATTTCCAAACTTACTTCCAGTCATGCCACAGAATACGTTAAGTAGAAAAATTGTATTGTGATACAAAAGGATTAAAAATAAGAAAATGAACAGATCAGAATAATAGTCGTTACACAACAATGATCTGACCAAAAAGATAAACTGGCCACAGTAACACATCTCTCAACAACCTGAAGTGGAGCTTTACGACTTTTTCCAAAAACTATCCTCAAAACTCTGGAAAATATGCAGTAATGGATATGTAAAATCTGTAGAGAAACTTGACGGGAGACGATCAATTAACTAACACTACAAGTGTGAAACTAGGAACAGAAAACACCACGGGATAGACCTATCTTATAACTCTTAAAATGTTTTCCTGATAAATCTGGAATCTGATTGATACTGTTACATGCTCTGCTGCTAGTGTTCGAATAATCTTCTGAGGCCGAAAAAGTTCTATCCGAAATGTAAGTAACTAGCTGGAGCATTAAGCAACATCAGTATGCCTAAACCAGTTCACATGCCTCTGCTGTGTCCACTTAAGTGGACAGGTCATACCGAGTCCGCTCGCGCAACAAACAGGTAAACACTACCAACCCTTGTTGGCGAAGGCACAGCAGGCTTGTCTCACTTTTGTAACATAACCTCGACTAAAGACAATCAGCTCCCGTTGGATTCCTTAAAATCTTATGCGATTTTCGGGCACGTCTCTCAAATGGAAGATCAGTGCTGATGCATCGGGAATTCAACGTCGTGTGCACAAAATTTATGTTCAGTAACTTTTTCCACTTTGGCTATCATAAAAATTACTTTCTTGAGCAAATAGCTATTCGAATATGACTACTCTTCTAATCTTCAGTTAATTTTCTTATTTTTAATCCTTTAGCATCACTCAACTTCAATTTGCTACTTAACGTATTTTGAGGCATGACTGGAAGTAAATCAGGAGTTTTCGCACCATTTTGTTAAATATCCGTATCTTGAATGATAACTTTTCGGAAAAGAAATTTTTTCTTAGCCGTAACGATGTTTTTGTCCTTTCCTAAATACACAGCCACTGCTGACATGGAATGCAAGATTTTATTTGTTATATGACTACAAAAAGTAAAATATCCATAGTTTGTATCATTACATTTTATTTCAACTTTTATTACTGAGATAACACCAAGTAGACTCCAAACTGCTATTTAAATCACAAAATGAAAAGCCCACCTTAGTTGACAGGAAACAGTCGCCAACAGCTACGGTGACTATGGCGCTCACTATGGCGGCAAAGCGTCTTGTTGACAACGCAGTTGTTTTAAAGAGTACCGCAAACAATATTATTTGCTGACATCACTTGTGAAAAATATAGGAACGTAAAATTTATAAATAATTTTTCGGTTGTCTACGTTATTCTTACTGTCGTAACCACTCACCCGCCCTTCTCAAATATACATGTATGTGAGTTTGGCACACACGTCCTGAAGCCAGCTTCTTCTTAAATTGCACTCGGTATGTAGACCTATAGCCTTTTTCTTTCACATGCAAACTAAGTGGCACAACAGTTTCCTTTTGGGAAGAGAATGAAGGACCTGTTACCCAGAACCTGTTGTAAACCGGTTTCGTTACAGCCGTCTACTGATTGAGATACACCATTTCTGACCACATTCAGACTGTACGTATGCACATATAATGATATCTACAACAGTTTAAAACTCTTCAGAGAACCTTCCAAGTATTAATTAACGCGGGAAATAAGGAGAACGGAGTAACATAAGAGAATTATATTTGTCCACTTGAAGTTTATCGTCTCCACAGACTGTCGTTAGTGCCTTCGGTTATATACATTCCACGTCTCTGAACCACATAGAGGCAT